TTTGAATAAGGATTATGTTCCGGATACAGGCATGCTGGACAATCGTTCCCCTTGGGCAGTAAAAGATCCAGCGAGTAATACTGTTGGTGTTTCCAATATTCCTAATACTAATGATGCAAATAGACATAGCATGGATCGAGCTATTGCAGGAAGAGCTTCCAGCTTGACCTCCAATGCTCCGAAGTTCCATGATCCCAGACAAAGGCATGCTCCAGAAACAGCAGAGATGGAGGTTTCAGCTGGTATACCAGAGCCCACAACTTTTGAAAATAGGTATAAAAGAAGTGAACCAGCAAACAACCGTTTGAGATCTACATCAGTGGATAGTAATAGATCTCAAGAGGGAGGCTCTTTCAGGTTTGAACCACAATCTTCAAGAAGTCGACAAAGATCTGATTTTTGGCGAGAACCTTCTTCACCTTCTGCTCCAGGTAATGAAGCACCTGGGTTTGGTGTATTTAGCTCTCCAAGGGGAGGTGGGCAGTCAGAAGCTAATAACAGCAGCAACAACAATGTAGGAAACCGTTATGGCGCTACCCGGAGGTATTAGAACTGAATTCAAACCCTCTTGAGGCCTCAAATGGTACCAGGCCCTGATGATGATGATGAAGGAAGGGGATTTGTGATGTCTTGGTGAGGTGGCAGTGGTCAGTGAGCCTTGAGGTCAGTTTGTAGAGTGCCATATGCAAGGAATAACTTAGCATCGGAAAATAACATCCTTGGCACAAGCACTTCTAGTTCTACAGGATGCCAAAGTTGGAGAGTCCAAACAATTGATTGACTGACAATTCATCTCTAGTTTCACTAGCAGTTTTAGTACAAAAAGCCAAATTTTATTGCTCTGATGTTTACTGGGTTATATACGTATTGCTAAGTTACTTTTGATGGATCATACAGTTGCGGAATAGATGGTGAGGAATGAGGATGTATTCCACATGGCTTGTGTAGATGCATCTTTCCAGCTTGATATTCTTCTCAGGTTATTAGCTCGAGTAGACAAGGTTAAGGTCTCAATGGCTTTTGTTTCTCCATACCAACAATCTTAATGCAGAAACCGCTACAGCGTACAAGTATGAGGATGGTTTGGGTAGTTTTGGGAAGCTGGATTGTTGATCTTTGATGTATATCAAGTATATTGCCTAGACACCAGTGGGATCAGTTACGGTATCAACACTCCTTGTGTTGTTATTGTAACAACACTAGCCTCCAACCAATAGGAATCTAGGATTGTGATGGCTTTTTATGAACTGAGTTGACCTAGTGTAAAATCAAAGCAGGGGTATAATTGTCATTATGAAAAATATATTTAAATAATAAAAAATAAAAAAATAAAAAATATTTTTTTATTTTCGGCCCAAAATTTTGGTCGCCGGAATTCGGCCATCGGTCGCCGGAATCTGGTCGCCGGTCAGCGGAATATGCTTTTTTGTCGCCGGAATATGCTATTTTGTCATCGGAATATGCTCACCGTCGTCGGAATATGCTTACCGACGTCGGAATATGCTTACCGGCATCGGAATCTAGTCACCGGGGCCGGAATATGCTTATCGGCGCCGGAATCCGGTCACTAACGGTCATCGGAGTTTGGTCAACGGTCTTCGTTGACCGGTCAACGGTCAACGACCACCGGATGTATGGTCTACATTTTGAGATTTATGGTTTGGTTTCTCACATTTTTGTATGCCTTTTGTGGTTCGCTTTATCGCGTTTGTGGTTTGCATTACGAAGTTCCTGGTTTGCTTTATCGTGTTTGTGGTTTGCATTGAGAAGTTTCTGGTTTGCTTTCAAAAACTTTGTGGTTTGCATTGTGGGGTTTTTGGTTTGTTTTAGGAGATTTGTGGTATGCATTAGGAGGTTTTTGGTTTGTTTTTGTGGTTTGCTTTAACGTGTTTGTGGTTTGCATTATGAGGTTTCTGGTGTGTTTTTGAAAATTCTGTGGTTTGCTTTGTGAGGTTTCTGGTTTGTTTTAATAGATTTTTGGTCTGCATTAGGATGTTTCTGGTTTGTTTGTGTGGTTTGCTTTATCGTGTTTGTGGTTTGGATTATGAGGTTTCTGGTGTGTTTTTGAAAATTCTGTGGTTTGCTTTATGAGGTTTCCGGTATGTTTTAGAGCATTTGCGGTGTCGTTTAGGAGGTTTCCGGTATGCTTTTGTGGTTTGTTTTATCGCATTTGTGGTTTGTATTAGGAGGTTTCTGATGTGCTTATAAAATATTTGTGGTTTGCTTTCTAACTTTTCTGATTTGTTTTAGGTGATTTATCGTATGTATTGAGAAGTTTCTAGTGTGCTTATGAAATGATAACTAACAAAAGAATGCAAAACTATTACAAAGCTACAACCCCATTTAGAATCACAAACCAATAATTGTAACAAAGCTCTTCCATGTTGAACTACTCATAATTGAATAACTTAAATCACAATCCAATCACAAGACTCCACCCAGCCATCTCACGAATTTTACAACTTGGAATTATCTTTTTTGCAACATAAACAGACATCTCAACTTTGTTCTTGGAGATGACCACACAACCAAACTCATAACCAACTAAAGATCACCCAAAAAATACCACATGCAAGTCGACTACAAAATCAGACCATGCTCATGTCATATCTGATTCAGTTGACACACCTGTACAAAGGGGCAATCCAATCTCTGCTTCCAAGTTCAGAAGCTTGAATCCTAATTCACTTTAGCCATTACTCCACTGCTTCCTCCCTCACTTCGTTGCGGTCTCTCCTGCAGCTTCACCGGGACCTCTCCAACATCAAAATTCTCCATCTACTGCTGAAATTAGCGTCATCTTTTGCATGTAGGGTTCAGATCGGTTGTTATACATATCAATCTCAAGCTGAAAAGCAAAAGCAAAAGAGGGCAGAGCCATCAATATCCACTCTCAAGCTCACAATATGTTCTGATCCCGCCTGTGCCGACGGAGATGAGAATTAGGGCTGGGTAGAATCCAGATCCTTGATGTTCTCGAGTACCATAGTGGGCCAAAGTGCAGAATAAAGAACGAGGCGAGATTTGGCTGCAATTGAAAGAGGAGGATTGGGGCCTCCGGCGTCGGAGTCGGTAACTGCATTTTCGGCGGCGGCGAAAACATACGAACAGTGGGGAAACATACGAACAGTGGGGAAATAACACCGCCGTCGGTCGTGAGGTTCGTGTAGCGCCAGGCCTTCCACGTCAGCAACGTCGCCGTCGCGATCCACAGGCGAAGCGCTTGCTGTTCTTGCGAGACCACGTGGAGAGGTTAGAAGGTTCAGATTGGACGGCGTCGGCACCGGGGAGAGTATTGGAGGAGAAAAAGCCGATGAGGAAGAAAGATACACGCGAGGAGGAGATCCAGAGACGGCTGCAGCTGGATATTAATTTTTTTTATTTGTTAGATATTGTGTTAATGGACCCTTTTACCCTTGTTGTTACTATAACAACAAAAGAGGTGTTGTTATAGTATCCGGAGCCGACACCAGTAATGTGCCATCTGAATACGAGTTGAGTAATTATTTCTTTGTTACTCAACTAAAGGGGTTAATTGCATAGTTGGTCACTGAGATTACTCAAATTTGGTCACTCGAAATATTTAAATCCATTGGTGGTACTTCAGTTTACTGAAACAGTTCACGTTTGGTCACTCTCCGTCCAACTCCGTTAACTTTGACTGATATGGCAATCAACTCTCAAAGTTGACCATTAACTTAGTGACGTGAAAATTAAAAAATAATAAATAAAATAAATTTAATCTATTTTAATGTCCAACTCATTTTTACCATAAAATAAAAAATTATAATTATTAATTATTATCAAATTAAAAGAGTCACCCGACACCACTTCCCTCCCCCGAAATCACTTCTTCTCCGCTCTTCCTCCACCAATTCCCTCCGCCATGCAATCTTAAAGATCATTGCGAACCCTGGATCCTTCACCCCAAATCAAATCTGCGATGAGATCCATAACCGTCGTTCTCAGAAGGCGGCGACGCGTGGTATATTTTTACGGTTCCAATGCAGTTTCTTTGCACCTTGAATTGGGTTTGAGAACTTGCCAAATCCCATTAGGACTCTATTAAGTACATTGCTTCTTACCCGCTCCAGCACTTCAAAAGGTGGAGTTGTGCACTTGTGCTGCACTCTGCAGATTTCTCCTTGCGAGCTTGAGATTCGTCATGAAATCGTTCGTCGACAAACTATTCCCCTGCTTCTCTCCTGGTGAGCGGCAGACTATCTGGGATCGGCTGCCGGAAGAGTTATGGACGAACATCTTTGGTAGACTGCCATATAGATCCTTGTTGCAGTGCCTCTTGGTCCAAAAGTCTTGGCTTCGTCTCATTACAAGTCCCCACTTCGTTTCCGCTCACCTCACCAGAATACTGGGAACTCCGACGGTCGGCGGCAACCCCTAGCGGAGAAGTGATTGCGGGGAAGGGATGTGGTGTGGGACGGCTCTTTTAATTTCATAATTAATAATTATATTTATTTATTTTATAGTAAAAATGAGTTGGACATTAAAATAGATTAAACTTTATTTTATTTATTATTTCTTAATTGCCACGTCACTAAGTTAACGGTCAACTTTGAGAGTTGACTGCCACATCAGACAAAGTTAACGGAGTTGGACGGAGAGTGACCAAATGTGAGGTTTCAGTAAACTGAAGTACAACCAATGGATTTAAATATTTCGAGTGACAAAACTTGAACGTTTTTTGTAATCTCAGTGACCAACCATGCAATTAACCCTCAACTAAAGTCAACACAGCCTTTTTTTTCCTTTCCCTCGTTGTGATCTCCCCCTGCTATCGAATTCAACATATAGAGACTACTACGGGTCAGTCCGTCATCCGTGGTCTTCTTACCAATTTTGACCTTATTAACGCACGTCACAACAACAAAAAAACACAACGATGAACAAGAACTCTGCCATACATCTTTGTTATTCGAGGTAACTGTAACACCCTGAGTCAACTTAGCTAAGGAAATGAGGTAGAAGAAGAAGAATTGCAGAGGAAATTTGTATTTGTATTTCTCATGATTGCAACAACCCACAATGGATTATGGATACCTAATATAATACCTTAAGTATACTTTCTCGGGTTGACAACTGTCAACCACCAGTTCATCTACACTATTACAAAGAACTCCCTTATTTTCTAATCCTTTACATTTAAGACCAACTATTACAAGTTCCACTCCTTCGGAATAGACTTGGCCTCAAGTTTGAAAATTTGGAAATCTCTTCTTCAATTCAGCTATAAACTCTCAAGTAGCATCTTCCTCCCGCAGATGAGACCACTCCACCAAAAGTTAGGTAACAACCTTGTTGTTCTGAGCAACCACTCTCCTAGCAAGCACTGCAACTGGTTCTAGTTTAAGATTTCCACTTTGATCCATCTCTGGCAATGTTGGTTGAGCTTTAACCTAGGATCCTCTAACCTATTTGAGTTGTGACACATGGAACACATTATGGAAGTCGCAATTTATATGCTACCGCACCAACTGTTTGTAACACCATAAAAGGTCTCTAGAACTTAGGAGCTAATTTTTGGTTAGCCCTTTGTTCCACAGAAATTTGTCTACAGGGTATGAGTTTCAAATACACCCAATCACTTTCCTTGAACACCCTCTCCGTTATATGCTTGTCTGCATTTGTTTTCGACAATTCGGTGCTCTAGCCAGGTTCCACCGTAGGAGCCCAACCAATCTCGGCTGCTCTCCAAGTTTGTCTGCTACTGTTGGGTGGGATATGATTCATCCGCTCTTGGTCATGAGGGAGAGATGATTGTTTGCAAAAGAATTACAAAAGCTTGGTGCAATGCACGTCAACGTTGAAAAGGGAGACCAATAAATGACAACTCCTAATCGTAAGAAAGAATAAAGAGCACCTTCGAGAGTTATTGTGCTTGTTTGTTGTTTAGAATCCCTCGGTGCACACCTTGAATGTTCGGCCTAAGGTATTAAGTATGGTCCTCACTCGAGACTTTGTGCTTGCACAATAAGATGATAGTAACGTTCATTCATCTCCGTCTACTCTTCTTTATGCAATGAAGAACTAGAGTGCATTCCCCATTGATTTGTCTATCATGTTACATTAGGTTTGAGTAGGTTTGCTTGGGTACAAGCAAACACCTAAGTGTGAGGGAGTTTGATAACACCTAAATTGGTGTTATTTATCCTTCATATTGAGGTTTGTTTCGTGCCAATTCATGTACATAATTGCTTGAATATCGTCGATTGCATCCCTATGTCCTTCCTATTTGAATTCGATGTTATTTTAGGATATTTTAGACGATACATGTGAATTAGGTATAAACAAGGTCACAAGTGTAGCAAGGGGGCAGAAGAATGAAGATTGTGGCCTAGAAGTGAAGATCACGGCCGAGATCATGGCCTGCAAAGTCAAGCTGAAGAGAGCGGCCGTGAATTGGTGGGCTCAGGACGCAAACTTCATGAAGGAGCCGAGGAGAAATAGAATGTTTCCTCAATCGGATCACGACCGTAGTGCATTTCGACCACGAGGAAGATCACGATCGCGCCTCGTGGATCGCGACCGTGAAGTCTGTTAGAAACCCAATTTAGGTGGGTTTCTCTATTTATTTATGGTAGGATAATTATCGTTATAGTTAGTAGAGATTTAGTAGAATTAAATTATTGGTTAGGGTTTATCGGTATTTTCCTATAAATATGTAATCTCCATTTCATTATGAACCAATCAAGGAAAATATTAAGAAAAGTATCTCTCCCAAATCTCTTCCAAAACCCTCTCAAATCTTGTCTATCTCTCCCCAAGGCCGCCGACCTATTCTTCTTAAATCTCCCCAATTCTGTTCTCCAATCCCTAAATCTCCAAATCTATTTTTAAATCCCTAATTTCTTATCCTAAACCCTAAATTCCTCTCTGTTACGTATAAGCGTGGGTGCCGAAGATCAGTCGCTAGAAGCCCTAAGAAGTGGGTTTCTAACAGTGGTATCAAAGCCCAGTTGCAGGTACTCGTACCAAACACATGTCGATATTTGAAGGGCTCTCACTTAGAGAACTAACCATGGTTCTTAGAATGAAGTTGGAGGCTGCGAGAATGGAGATGTGTCCAATCCCACCTCCAACCGCAACCGTAATCAAACCGTTGGTCGCTGAAACGGATTTTGAAGATTGGTTGGAACAACCGGCGTTCCCAATTGAGTAAGAGCAAGGGGAAACCACCACCGCTGATAAGACCGAGAAAGAAGCTGTTGCAACGGCTGTCCTCTCTGCGACATCACCGTCAACAAGAGTTCCTTCACCCATCGAGACAAAGACAGAAGTTGGCGAGTCTCGGGAGGCGGAGCCGCGTATCGCGAAAGAATCTCCAACACCACCAGTCGGCGTGATGAAGATCATGGGGGGGAGCAGGCCTAACCTTGTTGTTGTGGAAACAGCGGATCTTGTTGTCCCTGTTGTTGTTCCAAGCAAGGAGAGGGCATTTATTTTTGGAGAGCACAATGCTAAAGTTGAAGGGAGGAGGTTAATGCCAAGCTGATGACTCGATATATACACATGTTTTGTCCACCATTCTTATACCGTATGAGTCTCATTTCTGGTGTTTTAGGCTGATTTCACGATAGGTTGTTCTTGCTTGTGATATTTCAGGTCCTAGTACGTGAAGGAAGGTTTGGGCACGAGTTCGGGGTCGATTGGACGAATTTGGGACGTTTGACGAAAAGCTGAGGAAACCACACGGGCTTACCTAAATTCCACACGGCCGTGTGGAACTCCTTTGCGCGGGCAAAGCTACATTGGCCGTGTAAGGGCCCTTTTTGGCTGTGTGGGATTTCCAGAGAGTTCACACGGGAAGACCTAAATTCCACACGATCGTGGTTTTGGCCATGAAGCGTACCTGGAGTCACTAAATCGAACGCGGCGTTTTGGAGAGCCACACGGGCAGCTGGGGACTTCACACGGCCGTGTGATCGGGCATAACTGTTTTTTTAACCCAATTCCGGGTCTTTGAAGAGGGGGACGATTTTCCAGAGCAAAAATAGAGTCCTAGAGAGAGAAAAGTGCGAAGAACAAACCCTAGGAGTGATTTTGGAGCTGGTTTCATCAATCAAGCTTGGATTTCATCCTTGGAGTGAAGATTAACATCCCAGAGCATATTCTTCCCATTGATATGAGTATGACTATTTTGTATTGTGTTTTCCTCTCTCTCTCTCTCTCTCTCTCTCTCTCTATGGAGTATAACTCTCTCTCTCTCACTTGGGTATGAAGAACCCTAGTTCCATGTGTTAGGGATATTGATTGTAATGACTTTTGGATTGGTATATTGTGCGATTATAATCGATTGATGCGTGATTCATTGAGTCAATTGAAGGCTGATCAACTTTTCTTGATTTATGCTGCAACGTGAGATAGGTAGAATATGATTAGGTTGTTAGAGCTTCTTCAATCGGTAGTAGTGTATCGATTATACGAGAGTTAGTCGATTCACTGCTTTGTAATGGAATCCAATTCCAGTAGTGGAGTTCTGTGTTAATTGCCTCAACGTTTTATCCCGGTGAAGACTAGTCGTCTGTCGGGTAGTTTGTCTGAGAGGGCTTGGTCAGCTTAAGAGATTCCAAGCTATTATCGGATCTTCGGCAGTTTAATCAACAGTAAATCAACCAAAGGAAATTACAATTTTGACCTAACTAAGGAGCTAGGGGACTCATTCCCGAGTGACTCTTCCCTTGTTTAAGAACTTCGAACCATTTCCTACTTTCTTACTGCTTTTGTTTCAATCACTCTCACTACACTTACTCCCACTAGATAACAGGTAGTCACAGAGTAGGCAGTAGATAGACCCCGGGTTGATAAATTGAACTTGCCACTATTCTGCATTTTCATTCTGCGTGTCAAGTTTTAGCGTGTCAAGTTTTTGGCGCCGTTGCCGGGGACCTCTAGTTTATTGTAGAAACGTGAAAGTCTGTTACTTTAGCATTTAATTTTATGCATCCTATCTTTTGCACCCTTGCTTTTCACTTGGGTATTTTGTTTTTGTTGGTGCAGATCTGATACATGGATCCTCATGGCTTCTCCAACCATTGGGGGTATCCACCACCACCCGAGTGGTATTACCCCGAGACTTCTTGGAGCAACCAAGGAGGAGAAGACTGCGGAGTCAGGTTTCAGTACCAACCCTCCTACTACGAAGAACAATCAGACCCCTGGGTATTTCAAGAACAATCTCATTATCAAGAAGCATTCCTCCCACAACTAGAAGGGCCATCAGATCTTGATTTAGCCACAGCCCTCATGGGCCATCCGGCAGAGCCATGCTACACTCCACAGCCAGATCCAAACTATCACTTGAGGCTTCTCGTGGAGCAGATTGCTCGAGTACCTGAGAGATCCTTTCCCGAGATGGATCCTCATATCCAGGCCATTGCCCAAACTGACTTCTCCTTTCCCTGTGAAACAGAGGAGACCCTTCGGAGCATCAAGAAGCAATTAGTGGTCATTGAGAAAGCTTATGCACAGTTTTCTCAAGACAACCTTTATGCTATCGTACAAGTAGAGGAGGAGGAATAAGAAGGCAATCATGAGGATGTTGAGGAGCATACAGAGGTTGTCGCAGAAAGCTCCTATGATAATCATGATCAAGTGTATCCACTGGTGGTAGATCACAAATTTTCCCATTTCCGCTCTGACATGTTGGGCCCGGGCGAGGAGATGGAAGATGATCTCATTGAAGAAATTACATGGCGACTTGCTCTCCAATCTGTGCTAGAACAAGAAGAAGAGCGAGAAAGGGTGAGGGAAGAAGTTGTGGAGGATGAGGAAGAAAGCAAAGAAGAGGAAGTTCTTGATCTTTTCCAAGGGGAGAGACCACATTGTGATGAAGGAAGGGGGGTTGAAGAAGCAAGTGGTGTATAGGCCGAGGATGAAGTAGAGGTGGAAGAGGCATGCACCAGCCATGAGTTACATGTGATATCTCCACCAAACTTCGAGGAGCTGCTTGGCAAGGACCCATTTGCAGTGTCTCTTTGCCAGACCAAGACCAAATCAACATAGATCCTTCTTGGTGGATGCGATGGTGGTCAATCGATGGTATCTTATCTGTTTGGGGCAACGAGACAAGAGAAGATGCGAAGGAGAGGTCTCGAGAGTGGAGACTTCATCTTCCTCAAGGCCATGAGCCATCTTCGTCACCTATCACATCCCCTGCTCGTGACTTGAGACTCCACCTCATTAATGAGAACCTCAATTTCTAAGAGGTTTTGTGGTGGACCAAGACTTAAGAGCCACCGTCCGGCTCATGACGTAAAAGAAGCGCTTGTTGGGAGGCAACCCCACCACGGTTTGTTTTTATTTTGTTTGTTTTCGGTTTCCACTTGGAACTTTGGTTTTTATCACCCAGTGTGTTTTGATGACTCTAGCTTTGTGGACTATTCCATCGTTCTGTCTGTCCCTGATGACTGGTCCATTTCCAGTCCCCCGTCAGTCTGTTTTCCCGGTAACATCGTTCCCCTTATCTTTCCCTCTGCTCCGTGTGTGTGTGTGTGTGTGTGTGTGTGTGTGTGTGTGTGTGTGTGTGTGTGTGTGTGTGTGTGTGTGCAGGGGGTGTTGATCTATTTTTGACTGCTAGATGAGTTTGTGTGCTTGGAGCCTAGTCCACTGTCCAATTTGATGAATTGAGGGCTCCAAGTATTGTTCCCTACAATACCCTGCTCAGTATGCTTTGAATTGACAGCCTTTATGGTAATATGCAACCTAGGGAGGTAGTTGTAGCACTATGAAGGATGTTGAAGTATAAGATTTTTCCTATCTATTTCTCTGCTGTGTCGGTTGATTTTGTGAACCAGTGGATTTAGGACCGTTGATTCATGTGATATTGATGACTCCTCTTATGTTGTGTTGTGGACTCGTGTATCGAAAAAGGTTCTCAAGTGTGAAATGAAAAAGTAGTTGGTCCTCCATGTCAAAAATTTGAAATTTTAATACATGGGGTAAGCCCAACGTGTGGCACCGCTCATTGCACAAAATCGGGTTTTGGAAGAGATTTTAGTGATCCTTGGTGGGGTAGGCCTACAAGGTGAAGCTAAGTTGTCTCTAGTACGAGTAAAATTTTCACCGTTTGAACGGTTTGCCTACTCGAGGATGTGTTTTTAAGGGCACGGATAGAGCTTCCGACACCCCTTAATTTCATTGACCCTCCACACGAAGTGAGGAATAAGATTTAAAAGAAGTACTCTGGCAAGCGACGGATGTAAAGAAATTGCTCTTGCTCACCCAATAAGGGCAGACCACGCATAGAAACTGCAGTTGGAACTCCAGTAAAGTAAAACAAAAGAAAAAGGAACGAATAATAAGAAGAAGGGGTTCCAACAAGTGAGATGAAATGAAAGAGCACCCGATACAATGTGTCATTGGTTGTTGAATTGTGAGTCTCCTTATCCATGAATTGGTTGTCTTAGTTCCACTACTTCTCATGATCCTGGCTTGAGTCTAGTACTCGCATTGAGAGAGATAGGGGATGTCTTAGAAGAACAGTTGACCTCCTTAACTGCTAATTGATCTAGGAAATCCTTTGCCAACGATCGGGGTTGCATGTTGCTATAGAGGTATGGAGAGCTGCATTGGTTTGAGTCAGGTTTGCTCGAGGACAAGCAAACGGTTAAGTGTGGGAGAATTTGATGACTGGATATATACACATGTTTTTGTCCACCATTCTTATACCGTATGTCTCATTTCTGGTGTTTTAGGCCGATTTCACGCTAGGTTGTTCTTGTTTGTGATATTTCAGGTCCTAGTACGTGAAGGAAGGTTTGGGCACGAGTTCAGGGTCGATTGGACGAAGTTGGGACGTTTGAAGAAAAGCTGAGGAAACCACACGGGCTGACCTAAATTCCACACGACCGTGTGACTTGGCCGTGTAGAACCCCTTTGTGCGGGCAAAGCTACACTGGCCATGTGGGATTTCCAGAGAGTTCACACGGGCAGGCCTAAATTCCACACGACCATGTGGTTTTGGCGTGTAGCGTACCTGGAGTTACTAAATAAAACGTGGCATTATGGAGAGCCACACAGGCAGCTGAGGATTTCACACGACCATGTGGTCGGGCAAAACTGTTTTTTAACCCAATTTCGGGTCTTTGAAGAGGAGGACAATTGTCCAGAGCAAAAACATAGTCATAGAGAGAGAAAGTGCGAAGAACAAATCCTAGGAGTGATTTTGGAGCGGGGTTTCATCAATCAAGCTTAGATTTTATCCTTGGAGTGAAGATTATCATCCCAGAGCAGATTCTTCCCATTGATATGATTATGACTGCTTTGTATTATGTTTTCCTCTCTCTCTCTCTATGGAGTTGAACTCTCTCTCACTTTGGGTATGAAGAACCTATTTCCATGTGTTAGGGATATTGATTGTAATGACTTTTGGATTGCTATACTGTGTGATTATAATTGATTGATGCATGATTCATTGAGTCAATTGAAGTCTGATAAACTTTTCTTGATTTCTGCTGCAACCTGAGATAGATAGAATCTGATTAGGTTGTTAGAGCTTCTTCAATCGGTAGTAGTGAATCGATTATACGAGAGTTAGTCGATTCACTGCTTTGTACTGGAATCCGATTCTAGTAGTGGAGTTTTGTGTTAATTGCCTCAGCGTTCTATCCTGGTGAAGACTAGTCGTCTGTCGGGTAGTTTGTCTGAGAGGGCTTGGCCAGGTTAAGAGATTCCAAGCTACTATCGGATCTTTCAAAGTTTAATCAACAGTAAATCAACCAAAGAAAATTAAAATTTTGACCTAACTAAGGAGCTAGGGGGACTCATTCCCGAGTGACTCTTCCCTGGCTTAAGAACTTCGAACCATTTCCTGCTTTCATACTGCTTTTGTTTGCAATCACTCTCACTACACTTAGTCCCCTAGATAACAAGTAGTCACGGAGTAGGCAGTAGATCTAGACCCCGGGTTGATAAATTGAACTTTCCACAAGCCGCCTTGCATTTTCATTCTGCGATTGCACTTGGTCGCAGTTTGGTGTTGCGTTTTAGCGTGTCATAAGCGGCCTTGCAAACTGGAGATTTCAAAAGAAAGAGTCTGCCAGAAGCTCGAGCACGCCGACGGCCGAACTCGACGGCGGCTAGGGTTCCCTAAGCAAAGCAGAGATGACGACGAGACGGTTGGAAGGTTCGCCAGAGTCGAGAATTCAGAGTGGATCTCAGCACTCAGCTGCGTTCTTCTCGTCGACGATGGCAAGGAAGAGCGAGCCGTAGTCGGACATCGGGGCCCCTACATCGTCTCAAGGACGTCGGGCTGGACTGCTGGAGTGGCGAAGAGTGCGGTGGGCATGACAATCGGCGGCGACACAATTAATTGCAACAAACAACGATGGGGCGGATTCAAGAAGGATTATCTTGGGCTCGAGATTGGCTCCCCGCCGCAAAATTGAAGTCTCGTCAGAGAGAAGAAACTTGCGAAGGGAGCAGCGATCTGCGATGGTTGGCTTAATCATGACGAGGTCAGAGAAGAAGCGCGGCACCGAAATCCTATGCCCGTCGCCGAAGAAGACATCATCGACGATGCGAATCGCGCAGTTGCCGCGATCTTCTCTGACCTCAGTGGAGACGAGAAGCGCCAAGCCGGACCTCCCTCCTAGCCTCTTGAAGAACTCGTCGTCTGAGATAGAACTGGGGTCGGCGGCTGAGTTGGGCTCGTCTACTGGCCGTCAGAAGGGTTGGTCACCGCCGGGAAAGGAAAGTGAGAAGAAGGTGGAAGGCGGCGGCACCGCTCTGTTTCCGTTCGAGCCGATGCATTTCCTTTCCTTCGACAAAACCCTACTCACCTTCTGTGAGCCAATGAGTGGCCTCGGGTGTGTTTTGTTGGGCCGTCCGATGGTTCAGGTCGTCGAGCCAAGCGAATCGAGGCGAGTGTGCTGATCAGCAAAATCTCGGATGTGTGCTGAGATCTGCTAGTCAAATGGTTGAGGATGATTACGGGCCGAGAAGTAAAAAGGAGTCTGTTATACTCTCCTTGGGCCGAGTTCTGATGGGCCAACTGGGTGGGCTAGAAGCAGCTCCGGGAGCAAGACAACTCGTCCCATGCCTCTTGAGAAAAGAAGGTGGGCCGACTCATATAGGGAGATTTGGGCCACCTATGGACTATTTTGTTTGGCTTCTTTTGCAGGAACAAAACTTGAAGGATGAAGGTTGTGGGCTTCTAAGGAAGTTTAGCCCAAACGCAATTAGAGAAGAATGGAGCAGAAAAGGGCTTGACATTGATTTGGGCCCCAATTCTGTATTTTAAGCATTTGTAGACCAAATTAAAGATGAAAAAAGAGAATCTTGGATTGTTTTCACCACCAAGCCTATGAAGGAATTTATGGAGCACAAGGAAAAACAGTTCTCCGACTCTTATTTCGTGGACTTTGAAAGAGAGAAGGAAGAATTGTCTAGCTACGGAGGACGTGACATGTGTCATGAGGGCGGAGAAGAGTTTATTCAAGGACTCGAGCGCAATTGGGAACGAAGAAAGCGGAAAGTCAAGAAGGCGAAAGTCAACTACGACCTTGAGGGCAAGGTTGTTTTCAAGAGGAGGAGATTGTTAGAAACCCAATTTTGGTGGGTTTCTCTATTTATTTATGGTAGGAAAATTATCATTATTGTTAGCAGAGATTTAGTAGAATTATTTTATTGGTTAGGGTTTACCGGTATTTTCCTATAAATATGTAATCTCCGTTTCATTATGAACCAATCAAGGAAAATATTAAGAAAAGTATCTCTCTCAAATCTCTCTCAAACCCCTCTCAACTCTCGTCTATCTCTCTCCCAAGTCAGCCCGCGATCTTCTCACTCCCGAAGGCCAAAATGAATGTGTTGCAAGATCGCGCCCTCGCCATAGAAAATCCCGCCCGCGATCTCTACCCTGCCTGGCCGCGAACTTCTCCGTCCTTTGATGCCTATAAATAGAAGACTCATTTCTCCCATTCCAGTGAGTTGATTTTAAGAGAAGAATTTTTGGTTTTAGAGAGTGAGAAGAGAGAGAAGCTTAAGCAAGGAGAAGGATCTAGAAGAGAGGAGGCATCTTCCTCAACCTCCAGTCTTCTCTAATTTCTTCTATGTATCTTCTTCCCTCTATTAAGTAGTCCTCTAAGGTACTAGAGGTTTTTGGGAATATCTTCCAGAGAAAAAAGGAGATCTTAGCTCGCCTTACTAAGCTGGAAATGATAAACCAATAGCAACCTTCAGACCAAAAATTGCAGGAGGAAGATGCAGTTCGCCAGTGGATGGAAACTACTTTGTGGGAAGAAGAGGTGCTCTGGATCCAAAGTCAACAGCCAAATGGAATGTGGATGGGGATCGCAAAACTCGATTTTTCCATCTATATACTCTTGCTAGGCGTCAGCATAATGGATTTCTGGTCCTGATTAGCTACAAGTTCTTGTGTGTGAGTCTTATGTGAACTTATATAAAAAAAAGAGCCCCATAGTCACGACCGTATCCAAGGAAACTTTTTGGAACTGGATACACAAGAATTAGAGGCACTAATCAAAGAGTTGACATAATGGGAGTTGGTGTGTGCGGTGAAAGATATGGGGGGGCTGAAAGCTCCAAGAAAAAATGGCTATCGGGCAGTGTTCTTCCAGAAATGTTGGCACAAGATAGAGAAAGATCTGTTCACTTTTGCACTCTTCTTCTTAATAATCCTGATAACATTAGACAAATCAACGCGGCTCTTATTACCCTGACAATTAAAGTTGCTCATCTTGAGACTATTAGCCAGTTTAGACCGATTAGCCTATCTAATGTTGATTATAGAGTTATTTCTAAATGTTTGGCTAATAGACTTAAGGGGTTCATGCACAAGCTGGTCCACCCATTCATACCAGTTCTGTCGCAGGCCGCCACATAACTAGCAACATTATTATTTTGCAGGAAGCGGTGCACGCAATGGAACAAAAACAAAAGGTGTCAAGGGACATATGATTCTCAAAGTGGACTTGGCCAAGGCGTATGATCGTGTCTGCTAGCACTTCATTGTAGACACCCTGATTGAGGTTGGGCTACCTCAATATTTTATCAGAGTAGTGATGGATTGTGTGACAACAACCTCCATGCAAATACTGCAGAATGGTTCCTACACGAGCAAGTTCATGCCTATCTGAGGCCTAAGACAGGGATGTCCCCTCTCACCCCTATCTTTTTACTCTTTGTATGGAGATACTCAGTCATATTATTATGGGTAAAGTGAGGGAGGGTAAATGGAAGCCCTTCAAAATATCGAAAGAAGGACCTTAACTCTCTCACCTTTTCTTTTCTTTGCAGACGATCTTATCATGTTTGGGGAGGCGACGAAAGCTCAAGGAAAGACAGTGATGGACTCCCTCTCGACATTCTGCAAGGCCTCTGGAGAGTTAGTTAGTCGGGAGAAGTCCAGACTCTACATCTCCCCCAACACTGGCAGAGTTGTAACGCAAGAGATTGTAGGGGAGATGGGTATTCAAAAGATTGAGAAGATTGTAGGGGTGATTGAAAAGATTAAGCAAAAGCTTTCAGGATGGAAGATGAAGCACTTGTCACTAGCAGGGAGGATCACTCTAGCCCTTTCGGTGTTGAATGCAATACCGTCATATGTGATGATGCTAAGATTCCTGCTTCTGTCTGTGAGACCATTGACAAGTTAATACGCAACTTTGTATGGGGAGCTTGGGATGGAAAGCAGAAGGCTCATCTTATCTCGTGGGAGCATATATGCAAGCCAAAGAACTTGGGTGGCCTGGTCCTCTGCTCGACTAGGGAGCTTAATAAAGCTGATTTGATGTAGCTAGTCTGGACTTTCCCCGAGGAGCGATGGGTCCAAGTGATGCCACATAAATACTTGAAAACTAAGGATGGTGGCATGCAACAGCTGAAAGGTTAAAGGAAGTCGCCTCTTTGGCGAGCTATGCAGGAGGTGTGGCCTCTTATGATACAGGGGGCAGCTTGGAGCTTTGGGAGTGGAAAGGACACGAGTTTTTGGGGTGATGTTTGGCTGGGTGGAGGCGTTGCCCTAAAGGATTTCCAGTCCGAGAGCTCGAATCAAGCTGATGAAAGCTTGATTGTGGCGGACATGGTTGATAGCGAGGGAAGGTGGGATTGGAGCAAGATTGAGCACTTAACATCTCATGAGATGCGTATGCAGGTTGCAGGTACAACACCGCCCTGCCCTGTAGTGAGGATAGAGAGGACCGAAGGATCTGCGCGTTGGAGGCGGATGATCGGTTTTGAGTTAAGACAGCTTATGCGCTGGTTGTAGGTTTTATTTGTTGATGATGATGAGCAGAGTTGGTGGAAGTCGATATGGAAATGGAAAGGTCCTAGTCGGATGAGACACTTTCTCTGGATCGCTCGCGTACCAAAGCAAGCAGATTGATGACTAACGAGGAACGAAAGAGGCGGAAGCTCACGAAGAATCCATGTGTTGAGAGACTGCAGAATGGCGATGAACACAACACATGGAAGGATCTGATTCCAAGGGCAGGGCGATGCACCAACGATTCTTCAGTTTGCCATTACAAAGATGGTTGGAGGAATATTTAAGGGATTGGGTTGTTGGATTATATGGAAATTTGTCGTAATGAACTTATTTTTGCATCTAAACAAACGTCGGTGACGGCCTTGGTGACGCGTGTTCATAGTTGGACAGAGACGGTGGCAAAGTCATTTCAAAGTTCTGCTGACTACTCAAGTGGAAGCGTTGCTGAGCTAGCAGCCGGCGAAGGAGGGATGGGTTACAGACACAGTTAATACCGACGGATCAGTGCTCAATCCCGGCTCGGGCAGGGGGTCTTGCCCGGGACCAAAGGGGAAGGAATCTGGGTGGCGGCCCAGCTACTACAGAGTCAGGTCAATGAGGCCCGGAGCTTGACGGACAGCTTATGCGAAGTCAGCATAGTTCACGTTTATAGGGAGCAAAATCATGTTTTCTAGCAAATAAGGGTCATTTGATCCTGATAGGAAGCTCCCTCCATTTGTAATCAGGTAGGTGGAGCCTTTGTTGTCATTTCATTTTGGTTAAACCATGCATGACATTCTCGGTCGGAATTCAGGAAGCCCGAATGATTAATAATACTCCTTAGCGCCTGTTTTCACCCGAAAAACAAAACAAAAAATTCAAAATCCTTATAACAAAACTAAACTTGACTGATAACTTATAAACCAAGCCCTACTAATATAATATCCTCATAAATTAATTATCCCTATTTAACAAATATACAATATTTATAATAAAAATGATATTGGCGGGTTTCTATAAAAAAAAAACAATTAATAATAATATAACGAAAAACATCCACCAGGGTGCACAAGGGATTTGTTTGAATATAACAAGAGTTGTGCACAGGCAGAGATAAAATTAATTAGCCTGGCAAAACAACAACCCTCCCTGCCTGGATTTTCTCATTTATGGTGAAAGATTTCGGAACTGCACAAACATGCAACTATGTTGTTACACATCAAAACATCCACCTAGGAGAAGAGTGAACAGTAACAGCAGGACCTTGTGGCTTTCTCTGCCTAACTGGCGGCTCTGCACTGCTTCTATTCTTCATAACCGAGGACACTGTAGGGCTAAAGTAGTCATTACTCCTCTGGGAAGTCGCCCCTTGAGACGACATCTTCCTTCCATGAATAAAGCTCCTTTGCTGCTCTAGCATTGTCCTACGAGGCATTGGTTTCCTTTGCACAGTTGTTGTCCATCTATTGTAGCTCACACAACTCTGACTCCTCCCAACTTGCTGAAACTTACCTTCTCGAGGACTCGTGTAATTCCGACTCTCTGCAGTCTCTGCTGAGTACATTGTAGTTTCTCCCTCACTACTATATCCTGTATTACTATTGTTATTATTATGCAATTCCGGGCCCTCCACAGGAGAGGAACTCGACTGAACTTCACTCTTTCCCCCATTCACCGAACCTGTAGATGAGATCTCAGCTTCAGGACTACAATGTCCGTTTGGAGAAGATTGACCAACATAGCTCTTCTCATCACAGTTACTAGGCAGCAACTTTCTGTCAGCTTTGGCAATCTTGGGAGGGAAATTAATATCAAGAAGCTGTTTGTGCCCAGTTTCTTTCTTTCGAACAGGAAAGGCAGTCAGCCTTGCTGATTCATATATTTCAGGTGTAGGGATTCCCTGCACATGTGCAGCAGTAGCATTGGGATCAGAAGAAGTGTTGGTGTTTTCTTCATTGCCATTGCCAGTGCTTGCTGCGGCCACGTTTTTGGATGATGATGATGATGCTACTGCTGGAGTTTTATCCTGCTCAGCTTCTGGAGACTTGAAGACTTGGCGAAGTGAGAAAGATGTACATGAATGCTCACTCTTCTGGCCAGCAGACATCAATTTGATAATGGGCAGCTTCGGTTTGGTTAGCTCGTCCAAGCTTCCTTCCCAATGTTGGTTCAACCAATCGCATATGATGGGAATGGGGATACCAAATTGCTTAGGAGAATCTCTCTTGTTGCATGATGATGATGACGAAGATGAAGTTGAAGAAGATTTGTTAGTGTTTGGAGATGTGGCCAATTTCATGGGGTCGCATATCATGAACGAAAGGTTGCCCTGTGCATCAAACCCAGCAGAACCAGTGCGCCACGTTATGCCATCAGTGGAGAGTTTTACCAAGTTATCAGTAGCAATGACGACTTTTCCCTCGCCAACAGATAACTCTTCTTTCTCCAAGTAACCCAGGAAGTAAACGACGCTGCCTAGATCTAGGTTTGGTTTAGGACAGGTCTTCAAGAAATGAGGCTGGTGCTGCTGCAGCTGCCCTTGGCCGTTGGAGTCTCCATCCGCCGCAGCATCTAAACCAACTATGGTAAGGTCCAACACAGAACTTGTGATGAAAAACCTGCAAAAAGGGAGGAAGACGAGAGAAGTAGATGGATGTATCAGTTAGACAGCAAGGAATACTAGTTTGACGCCTCTTTCCCTTTGCCAAAACCTAAAGCAACATGCATAATAACGACAGCAATAATGACAAAGGATAATCAAGTACGACTTGTGCTACTACAATGCATATTAACAAACACTATAATCCACCAAAAAAGGAAAGAGTAAGTAAAAAGCACCCGATGATGATAGTGACGGAACAGAACAGCAATGGGGAAAGCTCATTGTCATTCAAAACAAACCAAAAAAAAAAACAAGCTGGGTTGAAAGCAGCTAGACAACTGCACATGAAAAATCAAGCTGTCTACAGCAACGTAGTAAGCAGGATTGAAGTGATTTAGCAATTTGGAAAGCACGGCAGCAGTTGCCGGAACATGAAGAAAGTTGCATAAAAACAGTTCGAGTTGCCCGAATTCAGTCATTAAATTAGGGCACCATGGACAAAGTCCTGAATGTCAGTAGCAAATAGCAATCAGAAATTTCGATGGTTAAGCAGGCATGACTATAATTTCAAACTGGGTTATTGCAGATAAGCAATGCGATGAAAGGCATCCTCTTTTGTTAAATCCGCTTAGATCATACACAAACATAAGTAAGTAGCCAGATCCAGAAGAGAAGCAATTAACATCAAAGTAGTTCACTTAAAGCTAATGCCTAGCAGTTTCCCGAGAAATAAACGCAGAATCCCAAACTAGAGAGGAAAACCTGTGGGGGGCTAGGGTTGCGGCGACGCCGTTGTGGATGCGGATCTCCAAGCTCTCGGCGGCAGTGACAGAGGGAATATTAACATGAGTAGTCAATAGGAGATTCCTGTGGATTAAGAACCCAGTCCCGGGAACTTGAGTCCCAGCTCCACCGGAGATCCTGGCCATGGCCGAACCCTTGCCGGAGAAAATGGCGGCCTGCATTCTCTCCGACTTCCCCACTCCTTTACAGAAGCACCATTTCTCCGTCAGAACTCCCATTTCCCCCTACAAATCTGTCGATTCTTTAGTGGACAACACCAGAATGGTCAAGCGCTGAGAAACTTTCAAAGTGCACCGGTCGTAGACGGATCTAGGAAGAACGGCAGCGGCATTTCAGTCTGCAGTGAAGAAAATGGGTAATAGGTAGAGTGGCATTTAATATCCAGCCTTCTTTTTCCGGGAAACAACAAACAAATTTGTTTTTCACTTTTCAGATGGCTGAGGCAGGGGATATCTTAAGTGGGAATGAATGAGTGAAGAAGCTGTTTGGAAGCCGGAAAAAATGGGTGGGGAAAAGGGAAGGGACGAGATGGGCGTGAAACAGAGTAAAAAGAGCAATTCTTTTTCTGTAGGCCTTGAACTGGACTCTTCAGAGAAAAGAAAAACAAATGGTGCAGGACGAAAAGAAAAATACAGGAAGTGAAAGAAGAAGAAGAAGAAGAAGAAGAAGTGGTGACGTAGGCTTTTGGCGTTTAGGGAATGTTTGGGTCACCGGCGGGTGATATAGAAGCTTCCTCCTTAGTGTTTTTTATTCCCTTTATGTTTTCTAATCCGGCATTATTATTTGTCGCCCTAAAATAATTTATTTGTCGCCCTAATTTTTATTAAAATGACTATGATGCCCTTTGTTTAGTTTTTTTTTAACTTAAAAATATACCAAATAACAAAATTAAATATTCAAAATATCAATTACAAGTATAATAAAAAATAATTTCAACGAAAAAAAAAACAAATACAACAAGAAAATTGTAAATTGGTTGGGATTATGGAAACAAAAAAAAATAAAAATAAAACTCAACTACGGTGGTTGGCTTTTTCTCCCTTCTCGGCGTACCAAGCGGCGACGTTCTTCTTCCTTATTCCTCCTCCTCGTGCCTCTTCCTTCTCGACAGACTAGTGCTCGGACTCTTTACTCCTGCTCCTTCTTTAACAAAAGCAGCGGGTCGGCGGAGAATGGGATAATGGTAGCGAGTGCGTGCGGGGGAATGGCCACGACGGCCAGAATCCGGCCCGGGGAAACGCAACGATGGCGTTTGGGGGAATCAGAGTCTTGTCGAGTTGGGGAAACGGCAGCGACTGCCGTGATCCGATTGGTGGACGGGACGACGGGGTGAGATTGGGTGAAATTTTGTTTGTTTAGAGATTAGGGTTTGAATTTGGTATAGGGATATCAACGTCATTTTCATACATTTTAGGGTGAAAATATTTAAATTTTGGACTTTGCTACGGTGACATGCATGTCACGGTGACATGCACTTTTCGGTCGACCTCATATAGGATCAGGTCGACCTAATTTGTTGTTTCAGTGTAAAAACAGTTTCATGGTGCGTACTTTGGAGATTCATATCTTGCAATTAGCTAGATGGAAATTGGAGATTAAAGGCTTGTTTTGAAGCTGAAGTGTCCCTCTACACATTAAAGTACTTGGAAGCTCAATAAAAAGTCCAAAAGACCATTTTTGAACCTGACCAAAATGCTATGCCAAAACTGGGAAACTGCCTGAAAATGGCTAAGTCTGGCAACGTGTTTGTCAAGCCTACTTTGGAGCTCAATTTGAGAAGCATGGATGCGAGTCAAGTCCAGGGGCCTCTACCACATTAAATTAAGTATTTTTTTTATACAAAGGCAAGGCATTGGATGAAAGATTGAATATCTTTAAGGCTTCAAATAAAAGACTCGAAGTTGCTACGAAGGTTGTTTTTCTGGCAGCTTGCTTGTGCTCGAAGTCTGCCAGAAAAACAGCCTTCGTAGCAACTTCGACCCTTTTGTTTGAAGCCTTACAGATATCCAATCTTTCATCCAATGCTTTGAATTTGTATAAAAACATACCTAATTTAACGTGGTAGAGGTTCCTGGACTCGACTCACATTCATGCTTCTCGAATTAAGCTCCAAAATAGGCTTCACAAACACGTTTTCCAGACTTAGCCATTTCTAGGCAGTTTCCCAGTTTTGGCATAGCCTTTTGATGAGGTTCAAAAATGGTCTTCTGGACTTCCTATCGGGTTCTCAATCACTTCAATATGTCGAGGGACACTCCAGCTTCAAAACAAGTAATTAGTCTTCAATTTCCATCTAGCCAATTGTATGATATGAATGTCCAAAGTAGGCACCATGAACTGTTTTTACACTGACACAACAGATTAGGTCAACCTGATCCTATATGAGGTCGACCGAATCCTAAATGAGGTCGACCAGATCCTATATGAGGTCGACCTAATCCTAACTGAGGTCGACCGGAAAGTGCAAGTCACCGTGACATGCATGTCACCGTAGGCACACCTTTAAATTTTAGGGCGACAAATAGCGATTCCGTTTCTAATTTCCTAGTTAGGGCTAAATTGCAAGTTTGATCACTTGAATTCCTAGTAAAGTTCACGTTAACCATTAGAATTACTTTATTTCATCCGTAGTCGTTTATAATTTTAGATTAGGTTAACAGTTCAAGTTTGGTCACTGGTCGTTAGTCTCCATTAACTTTTGCTGATGTGGCGGTCAACTCTTATAGTTGACCATTAAATGAGTGATGTGGAAATTAAAAAAATAAATTTTAATAATTTCCACCTCATTAATACAATAAATTTACAAATAATTAAAACAAAAAAAGTCTAATTTACTATCTAACCTAACAATGATTAACGGTGTTCTAAACTAATGGAGCAACTTTCAGGGATTTGGATTCGATTATAGGAGAGGTACTTGGGGCTAGTTTCCCCCTAACCCTAGACAGACTCGGACTTGCATACAATTAGGTGTTAATTATCAAGATTTGATCATACATCTATTGATGCAAAATCTCGGAAGTAAAGAAAGTATTTTTGGTTAGTTGGACTTGAAACCTATTGGTTGCCTACGTACCCGAGTAGTCGGGATTAAAGTCCGCGTAGTTCGGTTTAAAAGGTTTTGTGAGAAAGAAGGAAACCTAACACGTTCTATTGATCGTGCTTTGGGCTTGAGATTGAAGTTTTTAAGAAATAATTTTGATATGAAAATTATTATGATTTCGGCTTAAAAGCGACCACGATCTATTGACCATGGTTTCGAAAAAATAGTTATGATGACATAGTAGGATTAAAAATCTCATGGGTCAAGTACTAGATGTTACTTGATTATAGGAGTAGTCGAATTACATTTGAATTAAAGTGCCAATGACGTTTAAATTTACGTAGAAAGTAAGTTAAGAAATAAATTTAAGAGAAGATTTAGGTTGCAAGAATTAGGCGATTAGCTTAAATGGTTAAGCGTGTTATGTGGAATTTCGAAGGGATTGCTTTTGTTTCGTTTTCAGTAAAGGGAAGGTGGCAGGGACAAGCAGATTCCAGAGAAGTTCAGGGGTATTTTGGACATTTCGGGAGGAGTATTTAAGCATAAGGATAGAGATTAGCCTAACCCTAGCCGCATTTGCCTAATCCGCACTCTCTTACTCCCTCCCCTCTCTCTCTCTCTCTCTTTCGTACTCTGGCGAGCAGAACGAAGAAAGAAAAGGAACCTTTTTCGATCTGCCTCTTTTCACTCTGATCCTCTCACATCGATCTACCATTCTCCCTCTCTTACTTGATCTCGTCCCTCCTCCTCTCTTTCGAAAGACGACGAGAGAAAAGAAAAAGGGGATAACCACGACGACGAGGGAGAGAGAAATAAGTTCTTTTTTGTTTAGAGGAGGGAAGGAAATGTTTAGAAGACGTTTTTTTTCTGTTGCACATAGGGAGGAAGAAGGATGAAGAAGAAGAAAGTCAAGGCGATCCCCCCCTTTTTCGTTCTGAAGCCCCTCTTTTATGTTAAGAAATTTTATTATTAATGTATTGTTTGTAAAAATTGTAGGCATTTCTGATTGGCTAGTAGGGATATAGGTTTAGTTGTATTTTTCTGATTGGTTAGTGAGTGGTATGGGCTTGAGTTTTGACATATGTTGACTGGGTTTGACCCGAGTTGACCAGACTAATTTGTTGACCGGCCTTGACTTTTTGTTTGGGCTGGCTTTGACTCTTAATCTGCAGACTGGTATTGTTTGTCTAGGCTTTGGGTTTGACTTGAGCCCAACTTTTGTTTATCAAGATTTGGCAAGTTAAACTTGGGCTTGATCTAGTTCATTTTATTTTGTATGATTGTAATTAACTGGTTTGTAAAATTCCCTTATAGGATAATGATAGCCTTAATATAAGTTCTTTCTCTTTATTTTTCTCTTTGTCAAAAAAGCCAATCGTTGATGGTTAACAATTCTATTGAATTGATGAAAGTTAGCTATTTCTAAACTTATTTAACCTTGTGCTAATGCGAGCTAGTTTAATAAGACAAAATAATGACATGCCACCAAGATTCAAGTTCAAAACAAAGGATGTTTAAGATTTGCTATTGCTAATCCAAAACAATGTGAGCTCCCAACCCCTTTTAATTGGTGGCCATAATTAGTAAATTGGCCGGATGAAATATGGTGTCTACACTTAGCACAAGATAACTAAAGGGAACATAACAAAAGAATAAAGGATACGGGAAAGGAAATACGACATCTCAAAGAAAAATTGAAAACAAAACACAAAAATAACAAACAACACATAAAACAAATACAAAAGGTAATTGGCTAGAGTAGTAAACGCATCCTTTTTCACAATAACCCAAAGGGCCTCGGTAACGTCAACAAAAACTTGATGTGGATTTCCCAGACCAAGTTATAAAACTCGGTTATCAACTAATGGTACTCCAAGCTAAGCCAAGTATAACTTACATTGGCGATGTAGTAAAGGGTTGACTCACAAGGTCGTATTCCACTGGACGATAGATCTATTACTACTTCATAACTAATTTACTATCTAGCCTAACAATGATTGGGGGTGTTCTAAGCTAATGGAGCAACTTTCAAGGATTTGGTTTGAGTATAGGAGAGGTACTTGAAGCTAGTTTACCCCTAACCCTAGATAGACTCGGGCATGTATACGATTGTGAGTTATTTCCCTTTATGACGTCAGATTCCTCTTATATAACTACTAGGGAAATGGTCATGTCACCTAGAGCACTCCTAGTAGGCTTCTCAGCTCAATGGTCATGCAACCGAAAAATTGCTAGAGAGGTAAGATTGGATTCCTACGAGGATAACCAAGGACAAACATAACTTCAACTCATTGATCATGTAGTTCAAATCGTGTCTCAATTGATATGTGTTATTGGCTTGACCTAAGGGGATGGTCACCCCTCAACCTAGGGCAAGAACTAGCACTACTCACTTATACTGAAGCAAAATAATGGCATCATTCAATACCAATTGGTCATAAATAGTGGGAGAGAATTCATACATTCATATTAAAAACCCTAATCATCAATCTAAAGGTTAGGGGTTCTTACCCCAAGCACAAAGGGGATTGCCCCATGGAAGAAGAGGAGAAAACATCAAGTAAGGAGGAGGAAATCCTTGTCTTCATGAACCTTAGCTTGAGACTATCCTTCAATCTTTAAGATGACTCCCCTTCTTCTTATCTTCGTTCTTCAATGGAACCATAAGTTCCTCTCTCTAAGACTCATCCTTTTTCCTATGTTCAAGTGAAAGAACCACCAAAAACCCTGAAATTTCCCTTCAAGTAGGCTCCCCTTTGTCAACTGCAGAAAAGGAGGTGTTTGTAGTGTGCTAACACTGGTCACGGCCTCGAGGGAGTGACCCAATGGTCCAAGCTGTGACCATCCTAGAATGGCATCGAATCACCTGAAACTTCGCGTTTTCAATTCGCCTTCAAGTTCCAAGATCGCGGCCTCCTTTGTGAGATCACCGTTGGGATCTTTAGTCATGGGCGTGATGTTTTTCGCGGTCGAAAAGCTCCTTGGCCGTGATCCAAGTGTCAAAACTCTTTTCCCTCTTATTGACTGCCTACTGAAGTTCTAACCACTGTTCATGGTCTTGAATATGGTCATGGTCTGGTCAAGGTCGTGACGTGGCTGTGACCTTTGTTTTTTCTTCCCTTCTTGATCTTATGCTTCCGGATCGTGCTCGGATGAACTCCAATAAATTTCTGATAAGTCCTAGATGGCTTTAAGTGCTAGAACTTTTCATAAAAAAAAGCAATGAAAAAGCATAAAATATTACAAAGTGGGTCGATCTCCCCATAAAACCTTCGTATCAAGTTAACTCATGCCAAAATGGATGATTTGCAAATGGGAATGAAAAATGGGCCTAATCTAGCATGATATGTGGCCTAGACACGATTATTTAGCAATAAAATGCCTCAAGAATGAGGGCAAAATAACACATGGTTTAAGTGTTATCAATATATCATGGGAGCTCTAATCTAGATAGGACTCTATATTCGAGTTATCCTATCCAGCTCAATTGCACTACCCGGAGAGCGTAGCAAACAATTGACCTGTGCAATTGAGGCAACCAAAACAACTCACACAATTGGGTGAAAACCCGGTACGACATAAAGAATCTAATCACACTCGTTCATAGACCCTAATTGTTGAATTCGAAATACTTGACAGTGTCGTATTTGCACATGCTTGCACCCTTGTTTCTTAACCGTTTTGGCTTAAATTTGTGGTGTGTTTGCCTATTTTACGCTAGGTTGTGTTATTTTGTCATATTTCAGGTTCTAGCGAATAAAGGGATGCATAGGCGCAAGTTTCGGGTCAATCGAAGGTCGTTTGGTCACTCAAAAGCCTCTCAAAAGTGCAGCTGAGAATGAAATACGGGCAGACTCCCTACAAATACGGTCCTAATACACGAAATATGCCTATATTCCCAAAATTAAGGTTGTAATTCAAAAATTACTGCCATTATTTTTTTATGTCGAGCCTTATGATGGGTCAGGTGCAAAATACGGTCAATAATCCCAAAAATACGCACGTATTTCTCAGTGTCTAGCCCGTAATTTCACTGCCGAGAGGAGCCTTGGATGCGCTGAGACTTAACCAAAACGCGCGTTTTGGTCAAAATACGGGCATGGAAGAATTACGACCGTATTTCTGCTTGTATTTCACCCAGAATCGAGTTGAAAGAGGCAGATTCTAGCCATAGGAAGGGGAGACAAATTTTTGAGCAGAAAACAGAGTTCTAGAGAGAGAAAGTGTAAAGAACAAACCCTAGGAGCTATTTGGAGTGGATTTCTCACCATTGAATCCCAGATTGCATCCCAAGGAGTGAAGATTGACATCACAAAGCAGATTCTTCCCATTGTTATGAGTATGACTGCTTTGTATTCTGTTTTCCTCTCTCTCTCTCTATATGGAGTAGAACTTTCTCTCACTTGGGGTTGAAGAACCCTAGTTCCATGTGTGAGGGATCTTGATTGTAATGACGTTTGGATTGATATACTACTTGGTTATAATTGATTGAGGCATGTTTTATTGTGTTAATTAAAGCCTGATCAACTTTTCTTGATTTCTGCTACAACCTGAGATAGATAGAATCTGATTAGGTTGTAAGAGTTTCCTCAATCGGTAGTAGTGAATCGGTAATACGAGAGTTAGTCGATTCACTGCTTTGTACTGGAATCCAATTCCAGTAGTGGAGTTCTGTGTTAATTGTCTCAGCATTCTTTATCTCGGTGAAGACTAGTCGTCTGCTGGGTAGTCTGTCTGAGAGGGCTTGGTCAGCTTAAGAGATTCCAAGCTACTGTCGGATCTTCCACAGTTTAATCAACAGTAAATCAACCAAAGTTAATTACGACTTTGACCTAATTATGGAGCTAGGGGGACTCATTCCCCTGCTTAAAAACTTCGAACCATTTCCTGCTTTCTTACTGCTTTTGCTTAAAATCACATTCACTCAACTTAGTCTGCTAGATAATAGATAATCGCGGAGTTGGCAGTAGATCTAGACCGCGAGTTGATAAATAGAACTTGCCACTATTATGCATTTCCGGACTGCGATTACACTTGGTCGCAATTTGGTGTTGTGTTTTAGCGTGTCATGTTTTTGGCGCATTGCCAGGGAACCTCTAGGTTATTCTAGAAATGTGAAAATCTGTTGCTTTAGCGTTTTTATTTTCTTTTCCATCCTTGCTTTTCACTAGGGTGTTATGTTTTTGTTGGTGCAGATCTGAAACATGGATCCTCATGGCTTCTCCAACCGTTGGGGGTATCAACCACCATCCGGGTGGTATTACCCCGAGACTTCCTGGAGAAATCAAGGAGGAGAAGACTATGGATTCTGGTTTCAGTACCAACCCCACTACTACGTAGAACTAGCAAACCCTTAGGAACCTCAAGAACAATCTCCTTTTTAAGAAGAATTCCTCCCACAACTAGAGGGGCCATCTGAGTTGGAGTTAGCCATGACGGCCTTCACAGGCCACTCTGCAGAGCCATGCTACACTCCACTGGTAGATCCGAACAAACAATTGAGGCTTCTCGTGGAGCATTTTGCTCGAGACACTGAAAGATCATGCTCCAAGATGGATCTTCAAATCCAAGCCCTTGCCCCTTCTGATCCATCATTTCTCCATGAAATTGAAGAGGTTGTTCAGTGCTCAGTGAAGCAAACAGAGTGGGTGGAGCAAGTTTGTGCACAGCCTGCTCAAGATCACCTTTCTACAACCACACTAGAAGAGGTGGAGAATGATGAAGGCTTCAGGGACGTTGAGGAGCATACAGAAGTTATCACAGACAACTCCCGTGATTGATCAGGAAAGTCCTCTGGTGGCAGATCACACCTTTCCTCATTTATGCTCTAACATGCTGGGCCCGTGCGAGGAGATGCAAGATGATCCGATTTGGAAGAAGAAGATAGAGCAAGGGTGTCCAAGGAGGTTGTGGAGGATGAGGAAGAAAGCAAAGAAGAGGTAGTTCTTGATATTTTCCAAGGGGAGAGACCACATTTTGAAGAAGGAAGGGGGGTTGAGGAAGCAATTGGCTTCCAGGATGAGGATGAAGTTGAGGTGGAAGAGGCTTGCACCGGCCCTATGTTACATGTGATATCTCCACCAAACTTCTAGGAGATGCTTGTCAAGGACCCATTTGCAGTGTCTCTTTGCCAGACCAAGACCACATCAACATCGATCCCTCTTGGTGGATGCGATGGTGGTCAATCGATGGTATCTTATCTGGTTTGGGGCAATGAGACAAGAGAAGACGGGAAGGAGAGGTCTTGAGTGTGGACACTTCATCTTCCTCAAGGGCATGAGTCATCTTCATCACCTATCACACCACCTGCTCGTGACTTGAGACTCCACATCATCGACGAGAACTTCAACTTCAAGGAGGTTCTGGGGTGGACCAAAGCTTAGGAGCCACCATCCAGCTAACGACGTAAAAGAAGCGCTTGTTGGAGGGTTTGCATTTTTTTTCCCTATTTTTTTTTTGTTGAGTTAGTTTTGTGCTATGATTTTAGAGTCAATAACTCCACCTTTGTGAGATTTTTGTAGTGTTTGTGATCCGACTACTCTCTCCTCCTAGAATGCACTACCTGCCCCGTCCACCATTTTTCACACCCTATCTGGTAACTTCGTTCTACGTACCCTCCTCATTTTTCCTCCATTGAGGACAATGTCGTGCTTAAGTGTGGGGGGTGTACAATTATGTATGTGGGTGACGAATAGTGTTTTGCTTGTCATGGAGCCTAGTCCGTTGTCCAAATCTCGAGATTTGAGGGCTCCAAGTACTGATGTTTGCATGATCATATTGGCACTGTGCGTTTAATTGGTGAATCGAATGGCTTTCGAATTGATGCATGAGAACTGGATTGTAACTAAGAGAACCTATAATGATGACTGAGACATGCAGCAGAATTGTGTAGGAGTTCAGTTTTTCAACTATTTGCTTACCAATTGTGACTTGGATTTATCACTTGCTCTTGACTGTCATTTATGCATCTAGTTCAGATAATCAGAATGAGAGTTAGAGCATATAGGTAACCATGTGAGATTTGAGTCTGCTCGTTTCTTTCTTGTGCGATAGATCCCTCTTCCATGATGTGTAGCATTCACATTGCCATTAGCTAAGATGATGGAGTCATAGGAATAGCCCACGACCAAATTGACTGTCCTGGTGTGTCATACCCCCCTAGTCAGCCCCTTTGAGCCGTGTCACTTTCTTTCTTTCGGTCTACAATGAAAAATCACCCTTTTGCATCTCTTAGAAGGTTCCACATAGTGGTTTTTGCATGTTCTCTACTGTTTCTGCTAGAAATAATGTGAGGGTTGGAGGTAGTTCTTAAAAGTTGGACATGTGTTTGAAAAATGTGCAGAGGTGGTGGTTCTCTCAAGAAATGAAAAAATAAATAAAGAAAAAAATGAATGAAAGCAAAAGAGAACCACTACCAAAAATCTGAATCATGTTCATTAGATAGTGTTTCTTAGCAGTCTGGCTTAGAAATACTAACATTATTGTGACCTCCTTCACTCTTGTACTCTAAAGAATTTGATCAATGCAGAATGGCAGAAAGAAAGTAAGTGGTTTGAGTGACTGTAATTGTGTTAGGTTTGGAACTGTGGAACCTTGTGTATTGAATTCTTCCACCACTTAAAAGGCCTTTTCCCCATGTCCAAGACCCTAGCCAGTCATCTGAACCTGTGTCTAAGACCTCCGGATTAGTTAGTGGTGACACCCGATATGTGAACGCTAACATTTAGAGGTTGTCGTCATGGTGAAGAGACGTTAGGGATTGAGAGTACGAGTATGCACATCTTGCATCAAAGTTTGTCCTGACCCCACTGGTCGAGAGTTAGTGATTCAATTTTCATATTATATACCCCAGTGACGACCTAGATTTCTCGGTCTTGATTCTGATGTCTTGAGTTTTATGCATGGGGTGACTATCTTGAATAAGTGGTTGAGTCAAGTCTATGTTGGTTGGTGAACAGAAGAGAGACTCTTCCTCTACCCGATTTTGCTACACTCAAATGTCCAGGTTGCTGTTGAAGTTGTCCATGTGTTGATGTCTAAAATCCAGTATGATTCCCGTGTTTCGTGCCTATATGATATGTCCCCAAGGGTTGCATGGTTAAAATGTTTTGAGCTTACCTTGTATCTGACTTTGTTTGCTTAGGAACAAGCAAACAGTTAAGTGTGGGGGAATTTGATAGCGTCGTATTTGCACATGTTTGCACCCTTGTTTCTCAACCGTTTTGGCTCAAATTTGTGGTGTATTGGCCTATTTTACGCTAGGTTGTGTTATTTTGTCATATTTCAGGTCCTAGCGAATAAAGGGATGCATAGGCGCAAGTTTCGGGTCAATCGGATGTCGTTTGCTCACTCAAAAGCCTCTCAAAAGTGGAGCTGAGAATGAAATACGAGCAGACTCCCTACAAATACGGTCGTAATTCACAAAATACCGACTGTATTCCCAAAATTACGGTCGTAATTCAAAAATTGCTGCCAATATTTTTTATGCCGAGCTTTGTGATGGGTCAGGTGCAAAATACGGTCAGTATTCCCAAAAAATACGGTCGTATTTCTCAGTGTCGCCCGTAATTTAACTGTCGAGAGGAGCAACGGATGCACTGAGACTTAACCAAAGCGCGTTTTGGGCAAAATACGGGCATGGAAGAATTACGACCGTATTTCTGCTCGTATTTCACCCAGAATCGAGTTGAAAGAGGCAGATTCGAGCCATAGGAAGGGGAGACGACCTTTTGAGCAGAAAACAAAGTTCTAAAGAGAGAAAGTGCAAAGAACAAAGCCTAGGAGCTATTTGGAGTGGATTTCTCACCATTGAAGCCTAGATTGCATCCCCAGGAGTGAAGATTGACATCCCAGAGCAGATTCTTCCCATTGTTATGAGTATGACTGCTTTGTATTCTGTTTTCCTCTCTCTATGGAGTATTACTTTCTCTCACTTGGGGTTGAAGAACCCTAGTTTCATGTGTGAGGGATCTTGATTGTAATGACGTTTGGATTGATATACTGCTTGGTTATAATTGATTGAGGCATGTTTTATTGTGTTAATTAAAGCCTGGTCAACTTTTCTTGATTTCTGCTGCAACCTGAGATAGATAGAATCTGATTAGGTTGTTGGAGTGTCCTCAATCGGTAGTAGTGAATTGGTTATACGAGAGTTAGTCGATTCAGTGCTTTGTACTGGAATCCAATTCCAGTAGTGGAGTTATGTGTTAATTGCCTCAACATTCTTTATCCCGGTGAAGACTAGTCGTCTGCCGAGTAGTCTGTTTGAGAGGGCTTGGTCAGCTTAAGAGATTCCAAGCTACTGGCGGATCTTCCGCAGTTTAACCAACATTAAATCAACCAAAGGTAATTACAACTTTGACCTAACTAAGGAGCTAGGGGGACTCATTCCCGAGTGACTCTTCCCCTGCTTAATAACTTCGAACCGTTTCCTGCTTTCTTACTGCTTTTGCTTAAAATCACATTCACTCAACTTAGTCTGCTAGATAATAGATAATCACGGAGTAGGCAGTAGATCTAGACCCCAGGTTGATAAATAGAACTTTCCACTATTCTGCATTTCCGGACTGCGATTACACTTGGTCGCAGTTTGGTGTTGTGTTTTTGCGTGTCAATGCTCTAAATCAACTCTAAGGAGATATTCTCTCACCTTGGTCAATTATCCCCAGATTGAGGGAAGTGATCAAGAAGCTTCATTTTCCATAAATAATACTAAAATCAATGTATAATCAAGATACAGATCAAGGCATAGGGATCACAAAAAATCAATTGCAACATAATAAACTAGGGTTCTACAACACCAAAGTGAATTGGAGGACTACTCCATAGCTAAAGTGAGAAAAACAACCAAAATGGAGAAGACAATCATCATAATGAGAAGATATTACTCATTGCTTCTTGTGGTGATCTTGAAGTTGAAATCAAGACTTCTAAGGTGGTGGGAAGTTCCAATTCTCCTTAGAGGAGACTCCTCTAAGGTCTCCTTGCTCGTCACTTTATCTCTCCAGGGTAGAAGAAGAACTCCAATTTCTCTCTTAAAAGCCAACTCTTCCTTCAAATCTGATTTCTCCTCCCTTATATAGTTGACTCACACTAACTACAACTTCCCAATCATAGGCAAACATAACTAACGACCGGGTGTAGCATAGGATAAGCAAAGTAATCAAATTATCAAACCACGGGTTTCTAGATGTATCGTTACTTCAAACTAGGTATGTTATCTAGCCAACAAGAATAGTGAATAATAAACTAAGGGGTGGTTTGCTTCGTGGATTTGGATGATGGATTTGATACCCAAATCCAATCTATCATGGATTTAAGGGAAATTTATTGTTTGCGGGTACTTTTTTAGGGACCAAATCCTACATATTGATATGGAATTTGGAACATGCCATAAATCCATGATTGAATTTTACCCATATACCCTCATGAACTTTGAGTATTTCAAGGTTGCCCTTACATTTACCTATTGTACATTATAATTAATCAATCAATTAACAACCAAAAATAATATAAATAATCAATTAATGTGCAAACATGAGTTAGATTTTCTATGTCCTTTCTTGTGTTCTAGTTTCCTTTGACATTTTCATGAAACATGAAATTCTTTATTCTCCTGTTTTTAATATATGTAGCTATATGTTAATTTTGAAGAGGAGGACAAAGAATTGATAATTGATATTTGTCACATTAAAAGTTAAACTGAATTTTCATGTTTATTATTATTGTCTTTGTGGAAACATTATGATTATTAGTACGTATTGTCCTTGTTTTGTGTACATATCATAAACATGACAAACAAATAGGAAATGATAGTAAGGTAATTTTGGACTTTAAGTTCTAAATTCCAAATTCTTAAATCCATGATAAAACATTTCAACAAACAAAGGATTGTTACAAATCCATAATGCCTCAAATCCTTGAGGCTTTAAATTACAAAACCCTGTTTTTTAAATTCATAAAGCAAACGACCGCTGCTAACCTAGCTACACTAACCACTACTCTAACTAATTAGAAGGTTAGGAGCTCACTTAGGCATAAATCACCCTAATTCCATCATTTAGTCGATCTTGAGCACTATCCTTTATTGATTGACTCGATACTTCTACCGCATAGAATTTTATACTAGATTTGACCCCCTATTCGAGGTATCCATCCCCACTCAATTGTGCTACTCGGTGAGGCTTACGGAATAGCCGACATAAGCGATTCGTTCACCACTAATTCCCACGATTGGGCAAGGCCCATTTTGGCACTACCCAATATGACACTATGGATTCTATCACACTTGTTCACATACCCATAGTGAATGATTGGAGGTGTTTTATTCAACGTAGGGAGATATCCTCTCTCCTAGAGTCAAAAGCTCAATTGACATGAAGTGGGATCAAGACTCATGCAATTCATCATAAACATCAATCAAATAGATAATATGACTAATCAAACATAGGATTTGTCACATATATCAACAATCAACCCAAACTCTAGAACTAGGGTTCATCAAACTAAGTAAAGGAAGCTAATTCATAGAGAAGAAGAGAGAGAATACAATATAAGTTTAGAATCTTTAATCTTAATCTTCTAGGGGATGATCTTCAAGTTTCAATGGTGATTTGATCCTCCAAATAAGCTCCTAGAATTGTCCTAGGTCACTCTTTCTAGAATTGCCCCTTTGGTGTTTTTGTAACTTTTTATTTTTTATTTTCTTATTTTAATCATTTAGATGAATATATAAATAAAAATTAATATTTAAAGTTCCATATCATATGCCACGTCGACACTGACTGAGTTTTTTGTTACATATTAATGGTCAAACTCGGTTAATAGTAAAGGGAACATAGTTCATGACATAAATGTCATATTGAATAGTTCGGGACACAAGTGGCACTTTCTTGATAGTTCGGATCACGGGTCTTTAGATGTATCATTATTTCAACTTAGGTATGTTATCCATCAAAATAAGAATAGTGATCAAGAAACTAAGCTAACCTAGCTACACAAACTATTACTCTTAACTATTTACAAGTTTGGAAGCTCACTTAGGCATGAGTCCCCCTAATTCCACCATTTGGTCGATGTTGAATACTAACCTAGATTGATTGACTAGATACTTCTATTGTGGAGAATTCTAGACTAGATTGAACCCCCTTTTTGAGGTATCCAACCTCGCTCAGTTGTGATACCCAGAGAAGCATACTAAACAACCGACGTAGGCGATTTAGGTGTTCACCACTAATTCCCACGATTGGGCAAAGACCCAATTCAACACTACCCAATATGGCACTATGGATCCTATCACACTCGTTCAAAGACCCATAGTGAAGGATTTAAGGTGCTCTATTCAACCTAGGGGGAACAAGACTCATGCTATTCATCATAAACATCAACCAAATAGATAATATGAGTAATCAAACATAAGATTTTCACATACATCAACAATCAAACCAAATTCTAGAACTAGGTTTCATCAGCCTAAGTGAAGAAAGCTTATTCATAGAGAAGAAGAGAGAGAATATAGTATAAGCTTATAATCTTCAACCTTCATCTTTTAGGGGATGATCTTCAAGCTTCAATGGTGATTTTATCCACCAAAATAGCTCTTAGAACCCTCCTAGGTCATTCTCTCTCCTAGAATTTCCCCTTGGGTGTTTTGGGGTAATAAACCTAGCTCCTTTTGCTCAAAACCAGTTGTTGTCAATTTATACCCATAGCAGTGCAAGGATCACGCACTAGTGTAGTGTTTCACGATCGTGAAGTGTGTAAAACGTGATCTCAACACAAAACGCACCGTTTTGTGCATATTTCAAAGTTTAAGTGTTATTTTTACGCCACAAGGGCGTGAAGTCTGATCATGCTCGCGAGAAGGACACGTGTTGCTGGAAATGTGTGTGTTTCACGGTTTTGGGGTGACTTTCACGACCCCAAACCGTGAACATTGCACCAAGCCCGTGAATCTTTCACAGCCTCAACTTTTTGCCTCGTTTTGACCTCTAAATGTCCCGTAACTCATCCTCAAGCTTCCACTCATGCTAGAACCTGAAATGTGACAAAATAAACACAACCTAACGTAAAATAGGTTAAGAAAAGATGATTACCAAGTCAAACAACCAAGATATGAAAGGGTAAAACATGTACAACCACGACGGAATCAATAGCCATCAGTGTAGGGTTCACGGTTGTCCGTCACGGTCGTCATCTTTGCAAAAAAACCATGATGTCGACGGAATGTGCACCATTTCACTGACACACTTCATGGTCTAGTTGAAATCTTCATGCCCTAAGACCGTGAAGTCTGCAACTACCCATGAGTCGTCCTAGCCTTCTTGGGATCCTGCGATGTTCAAGGTTTTGGTGAAATCTTCACCCTTTGAGATCGTGAAGAAATGCCTTGACAATCCAATGGCGGAACAATTGCAACAAGGACAAGCAAGGGCTCAACCCCAAACAGAAAATCGATATTTTTTATTATAAAAGCCAAAGACGATATTTGAATCAAACAAAATCACTAAAAATATAATCTAACCTAAAGTTTCTTCTATATTATGTTGAAAACAATGGAGTATATTGTAATATCCAGAGCTTTTCTAACCAAGTTATTGTATGCTTTGGGAATACTCCCGCATGGTTTTGCTTTTAAGTGCATCATGATAAATTCATGGGAGGTCACCCATCTATGCCCTTCTCAACAATATGCACATTTAACTTTGATCTATCCTAAATAACATATTTGTTAGTTAAGGTTGGATGCTCCTTATGAATCTTTGATCTATCCCGTGTGTCGAATATGATTTGCCCAAGGTGTTACATACATCCCCCTTTGAGACTCAACATCCTCGTTGACTTTTTCCCCACCAACGCCTAAGAGGGATTCCGAGAGTATAATATCACTTGTAACATCCCAATCTTTTTTTACCAAGATAATGCCCACTTTGGGCCTATCCCCACACGGTTTTGCTTTTTGGCGCTTCATGATGACTTCCCGGAAGGTCACTCATTTCTACACTGTACTCCACACTGAGCACATTTAACTTCATAGTTCTCATAGAACATCGAAGTTTCAATGCAAAACACGTATTTTTAGTTAAGGTTGGATATTCCTTATGAATCATGGAAGGTGTTTTTTTATGTGAGATTTTTCTAATGTGTTGCATATTCTAGTTTAGTTTGTATCATGGTCTGAATAATTTTGAAATTGAATATTCATCTACAGTGGTGTTTGAAAAAAAGTTCAAAGTTAGTGTGTAGCATGGTTTCATCAAATTTAAACTCGAAAATGAATGTCACTCTGTATTGATGTTTGAAAAAAAAAAAATCAAATCTATGATCCTTAAAATTAAGAATTCAAAATTTTAAGAAATTAACTGACCTAGTCGTCAAGTACAAGATTTATAAAAAACAAATTATGGGGTCGTTTGGATACGAGTTTAGTTATGAAGGATTTGAGACCCAAATCTCTCATTATAAAATCTAAATATTTTATATTTGAGGTTTCAACAAATTTCTTTCTTTGTTTATCAACTTGGGTTTCCAATAAAAAAGAGCCATTTACAATTTTGTCATCATCTACTACTATATTGTCTTCTTCATCCTCTTCTTCCTGAAGAACAATCAGGTGCAGACGACGGTCAGGCGCTGCTTGCGGTTGGAGATGGTGACCGGAAAGAAGTGCAAGGAGCAGCCTTCAGTGGTGATGTAGAAGAGCGGGAAGGTGGAGGAGATTGTGGGTAGATCTGGATGGCAGAGAGCAGCCTGCGATGGCGAAGAGTTGGGAGATCTAGACGTTGAAATCTGGGAATTGTGTAACTCGGCAACAGAGACGAGGGAACCAGAGACTAACCTCAAGTTGAAACCCCACCATCCATTATAGAGAATCCCAATTCGCTCGATGAAAAGGTCTCTTCTTCATCGCTCTTCGTCGCCAATCCCATGGTTTGAAAACCATAGCCTATGAGAGGTAATCTCAGAACCCATAACTTCAGACCCTTATAAAATCTTACGTATTCAATTGTCTTTTTGGTGAAAGAAAGTACAAATTTGAAAATCCCATCCCATTTTTGACATTTTGGCACTTTGACTCTGTTAGACCATCCACAATGGTGATTCTAAAATGCCAAAAAGCGGCAAACCCTCCTCCAACAAAAGTTTTAAGAGTCACAAAAAGCCAAAAATCACGTTCCTCAAGCGCATGTTTTTCTTATGGACTATAGGCAACACCAGCAGCAGAAGCAAGATGATTGGCGGTCGAGGGAGGATGGAGATAGATGAAGCCTAACTATGGGCAAGTAAAGCTTAACATTGATGCGAGTATCTTGGCAAGCAGAGGCGCAGGGCTAGGAGTAGTGTCGTGGGATGCTGAAGGGAAGTGCATTTTTGTTGCGGCAAAGTGTTCCCAGGGGGCATGGAATGTTGAGCTGGCGGAAGGTTTAGCTGCCTAGTTTGGTCCCAAACTTGCACACCAATTGCAGGTGGGAACCCCGATGCTTGAAACTGACTGCTTGAATCTTGTTAGTATCCTACATGATGTTCAAGTAACCCATACTGAGTTGGCAATAGTCTGTCGCAATATTCGTCGACACTGAAAGAGATGGTAAATGGGAGCTAGAAGCACTACCCTCGGACAACCAACATGGATGCTCATCGGATCGCAAGTGGAGACGAGGTGGAATGAACAAGTGGTTTGGTTAGAGAGACCTCCTGATTTTATTATTGACCAGCTCAAGCTGTACTCTGTAATGGTGTTGGTTCATTAATAAAAGTCTCTTCGGGTTTACGATAAAAAAGAATTCTAACATGGATCGAGAAATAATGATTATTGGTTCAATTTTGAATTCAAATAGGGATTTGCTTAATACGAAAATTCTAAATATTTACTATACCCACTTATCGTGTTATAATTATGAAATTGTAACTCATGTTGTAGAAGGTTATGATGTCCCACATAGGATTTTATTTTACCATTTCCAAAATAAGAAATCCAAATTTATTATCTCTATCTATGAATCCAAGATTCTCTGAGTTTGGACAAACTCTGAGTAATTGATTGTTGCTCAAATTCCGACATCCTAATAATAATAATACACCCAACTCTTTTAAAAAACTTATCGATTTAAGTAGTACCAGTTTTGGATGTTGTTGGGTGTGAATATACTTCCCCACACGTAACCGTACTCCCGAACTCATAATCTTAAATTTCGCAGACTGAATCCCGATTTTGACCTTGAGGTCGAGACCGGACCAAATAGTGTTCGATCCACTAACTATTAAGGTCGATGGCGACTCTGAGCAATTCGCGACGAATCCCCCGATCCCGAGGGTGCGGTTGCGACATTCGTCTAACACAAGATTCACAAATAGAAACGATAAATAAAAGCTTGATTAACACCAAACAATCTTTTAGAAATAATGGAACGAATGTTCCCCAGCAACGACACCAAAAACTTGACTCGTCCCGAGTATCACACAAAAACTTCCCAATTAAGGCCCAAGTATAAACCTCAATTATGTGCAATATAGGTCAAGTATGTTGAAATGTCAACCCATGCCGGTCCTTATACACATACTTCGATTGTTTGAAATGTTATCTAGCGATTGGTTTTTGATTGAAAACTATGGTCTACTATTAAAACGAAGGTAAAAGGAATTGGTTTTGACTCTTGAATAAGAAGGATTCACCTGGGTGTAGCTCCCCGTAACTCACTACCACGACTTGTCGGAACGATTGCACATGTATGGTGGAGGCAATTGAGAACCGTAAGCGAGGCGTAGCAAGTGATCGAAGATCACTCTCTCGGTCCCTAGGCCGAGGAAAATGGGATAAGCTACAAGGGTAGCTCTCTTGCTTATTCGACTAAGGTCTACTTAACTCACACTCTCGAATCGGAATTTGGACGGCTAAAGTTTAATCGACCTAGGTGCCTACACAAACAAGAAGGGTTGCCCTACATTAACCTAGCTAGGAGACATGATTTGCCTAAGAAAACCCAGCTTTTCAAGCCTCTTTTACCAAATGCGGTTTTCTCTCTACCTAGTTTAGAATGAAAATTAGATTGGTAGGCAAACACACAACAACATAATCTTCAATGAAAAATACCTCCAAACTCATATCAAAACACACCCACACACAAACAATCATTCCATACATTCATTCATATGGTAGAAGTTAGGGTTCACCAACACCCAAGTGAAAAGGAAGCTACTCCATGCTAGGAGAGAGGAAAACACAAAAGGAAAGGAGAAAAACTAACATGGAGATGATTGGATCCTTCCTTGTGCAATGGAGATCTTCCTTTGGGGAAGATTTTTCCCAAATCCTTCCTTGGAGTGAAACCCTAACTTCTTCTCTCTTCTTGTTCATCCCTTTCTCTCTCTAGAAATCTGAAGAAGAAGCTTTCTCACTCAAGGTCTCTCATCCTCTTTTCTTTCGGATCAAGCCTCCTTTTATACCCTGATCGGGCTCAAATCACAGTCTTAGTTCACGACCGTGAACTGAAAGCACATACCATGAACTATGGTTAAAACGTGTCGTCTCACTTACTTTAGTTCACGAGCAACGGCTTGAGTTCAAGTTCTTATGACCGTGAACTGGCTTTACTACAGTGAGACTAAAATTCACTCTGGGCGCCTGCTGGTTCACGGAGAATGGCTCCTGTTCACGGTCTTAGTGACCGTGAACTCACAGTTCCAGCCATGATCTGCTGCTGCTTCCCACCTTTTGACTTGATTTCTCGCCCTTTCGTCCAAATTTCGATCCCAGGGTTAGTTTCACCTGCCATAATATGAAAAAGACCAAAACAAGGCAAAACCCGGCGTAAAACCAAATCTCTCGGAGAGCAAATGCCTCAAACGGCTAAGAAAGCGAGGTAAAAATATGTACAATTGAGCCCAAATCATTATCATTATAATGTATTACATACCAAGATGGTAGGATGAACAAAACAACCCGCAAACTAACCTACTTGTCCAACCCGACCCAACCTCCCCTTATTTATAGTCAAAATTAAAGTTTAAAGTTGGGTGATAGTTTTTTATTGTACAACCCACCTCTATTGGGTAGGGTGCGGATTTTGGATAACGCAGCCTGTAGAACCCGACCAACCTATGTTGAACTATTGTCATAAGTCTTCGTATCCAAAACATATTTGTGAGAAAAATAAGCTATCTTGTCATATTTTTCTCTAGTGGTTTCTCTAGCCTAATACATTCTTCAACTTAATATTTAGACGTATATTTAATATAAGCTATGATTCACGTAATACTTTTCTTGTGTACAATTTTAGAAGAACAATATATTATGAATGTGTTAGCTCATAACCACTTTAGCTTATTTCGACAATTATTTATGAAGAAACTAGACATATGTTTAAGTAAATTGCATTTCATTAAAATCCAAACAACATTTATGCATATTGATACTTTCCTCCTCAATTTATTTGTTTAAAATTTTTATTAATTATATAATATTTTTGTAGTGTAGAATAGTTGCCTTTTTGTATTGTGTTGGGTTTTAATTAAAAGTATCTCCAACCCTACTCAACCCAATTATAAACAAATTATAGGGTTCTAATTTTTTTGGGTGTGGATTTAATACTTTCAAAACCGTAGTATATGGATCTGTAATTAAAATGACCAAACTCAAATCACCCGACCCATGTACACCCCTACAAGATGGTATCTATTTTACATATTATTATTGCAATATAAGTTTATGTACCACCATAGAATACCATGTAAAGAATGCTTTGGTTAACGCATTAGTCCTCAAAATATCTTAGAGCGGATATCATTTTGTATAGTATGATTAATTCAGTTTTTATGTTAAAAAATTTAGAAAATGGAAATAAAAACAAATTGAGATATAGTCGTTAAAGTCTTAAGAAAGAGTAAAAAATATATATAATCATTAAAATTTAGTGGAGTAATTGTGCAGGAGTAATTATGTATGGTACTCAATTTTGGAATCATGTAAATATAATTAGTTGACTACCTCATAAAGATTATCCAAAACATAAAAGAAACGAAGGATAAATGAAAAAAAGTGATAGGAATTGATAATGAATAACTCCATCCTTAACAACCAATGCAAATTGCTTTTATTCACTGCAATTGCATGCTTAACAAAAGTGAACAAGAGAAATGAAGAAAGAAAGGGCTCAAGATAGATGCACCCATCAATAACCAAATATAGACTCTTTATTTAGAAAATTCAGACATAAGGAATGAGAATTAAAGACCATTTTTATTTTTTCTAGCTTTCTTAATTGACTCATATCTTTTTCGTTTTAAGTTGGATTTTTTTTTTTTTTTTTTTTTTTGCGCAGATGGAACGAGTTCATCGTGCTCTACAAAATGAGATCAATTTTCAATATTTTTTGAGAAAAAAAAATCTGGCCTCTCGGTACCAACTGCAGACCATATGGTATCTTCTTCGTTTTTAATTCGTTTTTGAAAAAGTTTGCACAGAAGGGACAAGTTCATCATGATCTATTGGATCTACAAATTTCTGGGTGAACAAATTACAGGACCAAAAAATACCACACAATACCATACAATACCACCCTGGTACGGGGTGGTATTGTATGATATCTTCTTCGTTTTTAATTCGTTTTTTAAAACGTTTGCACAGAAGGGACGAGTTCATCATGATCTATTGGATCTACAAATTTCTCGGTGAACAAATTACAGGACCAAAAAATACCACACAATATCATACAATACCACCCTGGTACGGGGTGGTATTGTGTGGTATACAATGTTAAAAGTCGTAAATGACAATTAATATACTTTTACTATCATGTATTCAACCATCCTACAGTCTTGGTTTGTTCATACAACCATGGTACGTTTTTCAAACCATAGGTATGCTTTTATTTCAATACCAGTCAATACCATATGGTATAGACTGGTAAAAAATGGCTCAATTTTTTTTGTTCGAAAAATATATTAAAGTTGATATCATTTTGAAGAGCACAATTAATCTGATCTAACTGTGCAAAAAAAAAAAATTCGACTTAAAATGAGTGAGAAATCGTCCGTCAAAGATTAAAGAGGGGAAAATTAAAGGCTTTCCAGGAGAGAGAAGATGCTGATGTCATGCTGATGTGGACGAGTTACTCATGGTTACTCACCATAAGGTTACTGACCTGATCCATTCCCGAAAGAAAGGACGAGTGAGGCAAATCCAACTAGGTTCATAATCATCATATCAGAAATTGTACTCTGCATATCCTAACATATAAATTACAAGAATAATATATAATGATATAGTCATGGCTTAACCGGTAGTATAAGATATGATATATTGTTCAAATAATACTTAAATATTATCTTATTTTAGAAGAAAAAGAAAAAGAAAACAACAACACGTTCCATTTATATGATTAAGGGGGAGAAAAGAGAAAATTATTCAATAGACCTTCCATATTATGCAGTATTTTTAGATCTTACGAGGGGAAATGAAAAGCACGGCCAATAGCAGCCTTAATTAGCGAATAATTAGGAATTAGTGGTTTAACCTTGCTTACCGCTTTCCCCCTCGCCGCCCATGCCATAATCCTTCCTTCCTAATAACCGCCTTTCTTCAACTCTTGCTCGCCCGACATGTGGCCGTCTCTTTCTATCTGCCCCCTTTCTTCTCTCTTTTTTCATCTAGAAAATCATATTCCGTTATGAACGAACACACATGAGTCGAAGAAATTTATTTCAAAACTTTTTTTTTTATGATAGAGGTTGCTAATGAGAACTTTCTACTTGGTTGATTAAGAAAGACATAAACGAAACTGTACGTATGAACCTCTCTATTTATTTGTGAAGGGAGGAGAGCAACTGCAAGAAGGACATCAACAGTTGTGACGAGTTAGCAAAGGCGATGGATGACGTTGACAAGAGAGAGGACGAGATTGAGCTAGAGCTAGGGCTTTCTCTCGGCGGGAATTGCAATACGCGGCTGCAAAAATTCATTTCGGTTCAGAAGGAGGACCACGAGCGGAAATCCATACCTGAGTCGGCTGATTTGGGTTTTGGGGTTCAAGCTTGCACGAGATTTGGAGAGTTGTCGGGTTTTACGGGTGAGAATTCTGAGCAGGACATGGATCCCAAGATGAAGCGCAAAATTCAGGAAATGAGGAGGCACGAAGCAAAGAAGAAGAGAGGTAAGAAGAAGTTGAAGATGGCGCTTTCCAAGGGGAAGCTCACCGCCGCTATCGGATGTTCCTATCCGGCGAATGCTGTTTATATGAAGAGCATGTATGCAAGAGGAGCAAGAGCGTCAATTTCAGTGTCGAGCGGTTGGCATCTACACCACCTACCTTGCAACGACTCTCAGGCCCGACTTCTCTACAGTTCAGTGTGCCAGCTCACGGGGTTGGGCGAACCGAAAGCAGAGCAATTCCCTGTTGGTTCGTCAGTGGCGGGTTCGAGAGGAATCTAATTTGACAAGTCGCATGCTATGATTTCGGGGCGCCGTTCCATGTGTGTGTTGAACCTTCTTAGGGAGTAACAAACGTGCATGATTCGGAGCAGCACGGTGACGAAGGCGGATCGAATGAGTCACTTGTATGTACCTCCTCCATAGTTTTGGATTACCGGAGTTCTTCTCATGAAGGTATATTATATTATATTAGATTACTGTTCTTTGGTTCATATCCTCATTCTTCTGATAACAATTTATAGACACCAAACCACCGGAAAAAATCCAAATGTACCACTGTTTTAAAAAAGAATTCCAAAAATACCACCCAACCCCAAAAAATTCCAAAAATACCACCCTTTTTCAAAAACTGCCACCCCACCCTGCAGTTTACACGAAAACCGCTGGGCGGGGCGGTTATAAATTTTTTTTTTGGACCAAACCGCTTGGTGGGGTGGCGGTTTGGGAAACCGCCACCCCACCAAGCGGTTTGGTCCAATTTTTTTTTTCCGATTAACTCCTAACTTCGGCCGAAACTTCAAACGAACGTAACTTTGCACTCGGGTATCCGATCGTAGCGATTTGTTTTTTATTTCGCATAACTTTTCAAGATCTACAACTTTTACTAGGATGAAATTTTCAAAACAGGAATTAGTTGTGGATATACGTGGACTTGGGAATAACTTTACCTTTACTTTTCACAAATCCATGTATATTTTGAAATTATGATTATGTTAAAAAAATGTAGATCTTGAAAAGTTACGCGGAATAAAAAAAATCATGACGTTCGGATTTTGGAGCACAAAGTTATGGCCGCCCAAAGTTTGACGAAATAAAAAAAAGGCTCGTTCGGGGTAGCAAATGACGTTTTTTCGAGACGAAGGCGGGACTCGGCGGTTTGCGGCTTGCAAGATCTCAAAAAGTTATTCGGATTCAAAAAATGGAACCGCTAACTTTTTGAGATCTTGCAAGCCGCAAACCGCCGGGTCTCGCCTTTCGTCAAACTTTGGGCGGCCATAACTTTGTGCTCCAAAATCCGAACGTCATGAAATTTTTTTTTATTCCGCATAACTTTTCAAGATCTACAACTTTAAGATAATCATAATTTCAAAATGTACATGGATTTGTGAAAAGTAAAGGTAAAGTTATTCTCAAGGTCCTGTTTATCCACAACTAATTCCTGTTTTGAAAATTTCATCCTAGTACAAGTTGTAGATCTTGAAAAGTTATGCGAAATAAAAAACAAATCGCTACGATCGGATACCCGAGTGCAAAGTTACGTTCGTTTGAAGTTTCGGCCGAAGTTAGGAGTTGATCGGAAAAAAAAAAAATTGGACCAAACCGCTGGGTGGGGTGGCAGTTTTGGGCCAAACTGCCACCCCACCAAGCGGTTTGGTCCAAAAAAAATTTTACAACCGCCCCTTAGCCCAGCTGTTTGCATAGAAAACCGCAGGGTGGGGTGGCGGTTTTTGAAAAAGGTGGTATTTTTGGAATTTTTTGGGGTTGGGTGGTATTATTGGAATTCTTTTTTTAAACAATGGTATTTCTGGAAAAAGTCCCCAAACCACCTATTGTCTCCTTTTTTTTGTGAGGCAGAGTACTAGTTGCTAGAGCTAATGATTCTAAAGAACACAGACATTTTATTTTATGGACATGGCTAATAATTGGCAATTGATTGCTAGATTGCCAACTCTTGAAAGAAAGAGAGGCAGGCTTAATTCTTGCTAGGAGGTTACTATTGGCAGCAAATTTTAGCTCCTAGCTAGCTGGAAATAGAGCCTTCCATGGTAGAGTAACTTCTTTCCATTGTATTGAAATGAAATTTTATTGCTGGTATATGATTGAGGTTTTGCTTAGGAGTTGAAGCTATAATTGCTAGAAATCAAACTATTTCTAAAATGTTTTATTAGTTTGAAGCCTTTTCCAATTACAGAAGCAAAACAAAACAAAACAAATGCAATTTGTGTATAGCTAGTGAGTTTGTTCAATGTGTATGTTAATGTTTGGTGAAGCTTTGTTTGTCAATCATAAGATTAACTAAAGACACGATGTACCTAAATTCAGGATGTGGTGGCAGTAGTGAAAGTATAAGCCATTCAATGCAATCAATCCTCGAACAACTGCAATTCAATGGTATTGGGAGCAGCCGCACCAAGAGCCAGTCATTACACACAGTTACGTCTTATCTCATTGAATTCGCCATCGAAGAAACAAACTGCATAGAAACGATCAAAGCACCATCGAATGATGCTCAACCTGACGATCCTCACAAACAAAAGGAAGAGTCAAGGTCTGACATAGATGGGATGAATACATCGAGTGTGCAGAATATAGAGACTAGTTTATCAAAGAGAAGCAACCAACAAGTAGGTTGCAATCTTCCCAAAAGCTAAAACCAACATGAGAATGATGTGCACCCGACCTTGCCCTACATGCCATGCGTATCAGCGACGGGAAATGGGCCGAATGGGAAAACCGTGCATGGATTTCTCTACAAGTACACGAAAGGGGAGGTGAGCATCATTTGTGTCTACCATGGAAGCTCATTCTCTCCAATGGAGTTTGTGCAACATGCTGGAGGCATAGATGTTTCTCACCCTCTGAAGCATATCACGGTAGTCCCACCTACAATTTGATGTGTTGGCATAACAATGGGGAGTAACTTCGTTTCACTTTCTTGACTCCTTTTTTCCTTCTCTCGAGCCAAACATTTAGCATGGATGAGAGGGAGATGACTTCTACATGTACATTATATCTTTGGATTGTTGGGGAATCTTCTCGTGGAACAGTTGGAGGAGATTCAATTTGCTTTGTTTTTGTTTCTTTTAGTAAACTATATAACCGCATCAACAATTAGGTCTAAAGGGCTCTGCATTCAAGCTTGAAAGTAAACATATCTCATTTTCTTATACATTAATAGTATGTATAATTGTACATAGGTGGCGAGGTAAGTTCAACATGTTGTATTTATAAATATATGTAGACTACATTCATAAATGCCAAGTCAATTAGGACTATGACTAGAAATGACGGTCGTATTCGATCGAGCAGTGTGATGCCTTAGTGGAGAAATCCATAGGGTCCTTGCCGCTCATTAGTTCGGGTAAATGCTTCGATGCAAGGTGAGATCTAACGAAATAAAAATCGGCAGCTCGTATGTTCAAGATATCGAGGGATACGTAACTAAAAGACCTAGGAGGAGGCACCTCAGCCCTCCTAAATTGTTTTAACTCAATTGAACCGTGTCTCGCCACTAAAGTAAGGGTTCTACGAGAGATTTAGGGAGATACGATCCTGACCTTAGTGCTAGGTAAATTTTGTGTAAGCTACCTTCCGGATCATAAGTAACTATCAACGATTATCTAACAGTTAACCACTGAAACATAAATCACTAATTTTTCGGTGCGATATCCATTTCGGTTATGAAAACATGGTTTTTACCAAAAATTGTAAAATCATACTGGAGGTTGTACGAGAAAAATCACAATAAAATAATTTGTGCTGAAAATATAATTTAACAATAATTCAACCATTAAAATACTAGTAGATACTCCTAGTGAATTTTTGTCATCAAACAATCAATAATCTGATAGGCTACAATTTTTCAACTCTTGATTTTTAGTTTTTACCCTTGTTATAAGAACTGAACCGGATCACGGCCGGGCCAGTAGAACCGTCAAACCAGTTACGATAGCGTTCCGGTTCATTGTTTGAACGGTTATTGATGGACCAAACGGTTCTTCACGGCTCAACATAAAATCGGATGAACCGACACGGTTTTGCTGTCTATTGATTCACTATTTTAACAAAAAAATATTTTAACATAAACTAAGACCATCAAATCATAATTATTAATTTTATATATGCTTCCTCAACCTTATTATCGATTTTACATTGTCTACTACCAACTAGAATCGTAAATTTTAATTTGAATTAAAAAATGTGGTTTCTTTTGTGAGATGGTTGGAATGATTTATTAGATATTTTCGTGATGATATGAATTTGAACTTGTTTATGGTCAATGATAATTTCATTCTTAAATTAGTGTAATATGCAAGTCTTATATGTTATATATAATTAACGGTTCTATCAACTGTGAACTCTTAAACCACTAACTTTTCCGGTTCAGCCTTCGGTCCGGTTCCGAAAACAGAGGTTTTTACTTTTTACCTTACGGCGAAAAAACATAATTCCTCCCCTCTCCCTTTCACTCACTTCGCCAACCAAGATCCGCAGCAAAACCCTAGAAACCGCTATTTCACCCCCACCGCCGAGGTGAGAGAAAGCGCCATTGCCACCGGCCAAGCTGCACCCTCCGCCACCTTTCTCTCTCGCACGCTCGCAGCCGGACCTCTATACGATCCGAATCTCTCAACCTCCCTCAGGTACTGCCTCTTGTCTCTTTTTCTTTCTCCATCATTTCGGCACTTTCTTTTGTTTCCATGCTCTCGTAGCTGTTCGCTTCGCTCCGCTTCTGGTAGGAGCTAATTTTCCGATGAGTGAAATTGTTTTCTCGTCAAACTACCTACTGCTCTGAGTGTTGCCCCCCTCTTTGTAAGATTTGAAAGTGTCTGCTCTGTCTTCGAGTTTTTGTGGTTGGCCGTTATTTCTCTGTTACATTTGTTCGATCGCGAAATGTTCTTTTAGGGTTTGGTGGGAGTGATTTGTATATGAATGAAGCATTGCGAGTCTAACTAGCTGTTGTAATTTTGCTCGCTATTGCTTATCAGAGATTCGCAGCAGGATGGCAGCTACCGTAGCACCCATGCAGCATCCCACAATTCCTCCTGCCGATGTAGTATGTTTCGTGATTCTTAACTAGGGATTTTGTCTTCTGTCAGCCACATGCCTTCTGCTTTGTTGTTCCCCCCTATTGCGTCCTTTAATGGAATCGCCGATGGATGTAGGTTGGCAATGCATTTGTTCATCAGTACTACCTTATCTTGCGCCAATCTCCAGAGCTTGTTCACAGATTTTACCAGGATGATAGTAAGCTTGGCCGCTCTGAAGAGAATGGGATCATGAGTACTACAACCACAATGCAGGTAATATTTTGATTCTTTATTGCTGCATAACTGGTTCGTAGCTATTCCTCTTGTCTGCTGCTTACACGTTCAGTTCCCTTTTCCTTGACTGTCTTATTCTTCTAGCCATTCTCCTGGTATTTTAGCATTCTTGTATCCATGTTCATGAACCAGGCCAGAATGTTCCTTCCTCTCTTTTCGTCATATTCATGGAGAGAATGAAACGAGCAATCTACTGAAATGTTCTCTACTACAGATTTGAGTAACATTTTATCTGTAGTATCAAGGTTATATAGTGACATTCTGGTCAATGCTTAATAGTTAATGGTATTCTGCATGTACAGGCCATCAATGAGAAGATACTCTCACTTGGTTATGAAGATTGCAAGGTCGAAATTCTGACAATCGACTCCCAGGAATCATACAATGGTGGGGTCCTAGTCCTTGTGACTGGATATCTGACTGGAAATGATGATGTGCGACAGGAATTTACTCAGAGCTTCTTCTTAGCACCTCAAGAAAAGGGCTATTTTGTTTTGAATGATGTATTCCGATATGTTGATGAGGCCACGGTTCATAACGGGAAACCAGATCCGGTTGATGATGTTAAATTCCCAGCTACTACTGAAGAGGGTAATGTAAAATTTAATGCCTACTGAATTTTTTTGTTTACTTGTATACATCTTAAAGAATTTCTCTGCTCAGATTCTTCGCTTGTTAAGGAAAATATTATTTTGGAGCAAGTACCCAGTTTATCAGAGGATGTCAATGGGGGTGAAGTTTACGATCCATCCGACAGTGGGGATGCTTCAGTGGAAGGGGAGGAAGTACCAGTGGCTGAAGTTCTTGATGAAGTTCCTGAAGACTCACAAATGGCAATTGATTCACAAGTGGTCACCGGATCTGACACTAAGATTGAGGATGTGCCTAAGAAGTCATATGCTTCCATTGTAAGTATGGATTTGGTTTTGCTAGTTCTTCCAATCATTCTGAGTGCATAACTTAGTAATATTGTTTATTATTATATTTGGTTCGAGATTCTGGAGTTTATGCAGCCGTCCGCATCCGCCAAGTCTTATCTGAACCTGTTTATTGTTGGGAACATTTATTACAGGTGAAAGTTATGAAGGAGAATGCTGCGCCATTCTCATTGCCTGCTGCTTCTCCACTGAGATCAGCTCAAAAGAATCAAGAGCAGTTGCCTGCATCGGCACCTCCATCCCAAGTATCTGAACCACATGCCTTGAACTCAAACGGGACTGAAAATGGTAGTACCCAAGGCATGGAAGGTGATTTGTAATGACGTTTGTAAATGTTAATTTCTTGAAGAGGAAGTTTTTTCTTCTCTTATCACGACTGGGAGAATTTGTTCATCCACATTCTTATCTGATACGTTTCCTACTTGTTTTCCACAGCTGAGGGTCCTTCCATCTACGTCAAAGGGTTGCCTTTTGATGCTAACCATGCTTTGATTGAGAATGAATTCAAGAAGTTTGGGATAATCCGCTCTGGTGGTATTCAAGTTAAAAACAATAAGGTAGTGGTTCTGCTCTTCCATGAATGCTACCATATATTGGCTCCACCTAATTGAACTGCTACTGACATCTTACCACATCTCTTGTTACAGGGATTTTGTTTTGGCTTTGTGGAATTTGAGGCTGCCAGTGCTGTTCAAAGTGCAATAGAGGTTTGCATGAATGTTATTATACCCAACATTTGCTTTCCTCTCCTTTCTGGATTGCTTACTTCTGTATAGTGTTTGGACTTGATTCCTTGGAGCAGTCATTCTATCAGTTGTACTTGGGTTGTATACTCTCACTTTCAATTTGTGGGGTAAACATTTTTGAGTTAGATCAGAGCTGAATTTCCACCACTGCGTCTCGGGGATATTATTTCGTCCCTGTTACCCCATCTACTCCTCTTTGTCCTGCACACCTCAATTCGATTTGATCTGTTTTAATAACTCGTCTCTTCTGGCTTTCTTTGGGGAGTATCTTTACTAGAAGGCTAGAACCTTTTGGTGATCCAAAAAGGGATGCTTACATATGAAAGTCCTAGTGAGAGTGAGTACATACGATGTAATATCTGGAACAAGCTGCAACATGGAGGATGCTAGAAAGTTTCATAAACAAAGAAGGATGCTCGTTCCCTCTTTTTCCAGTTCCTTACTGTTTTCTGTGTCTGGTGTTTATTTATGATGTTGTAGAAGTCAGCTTGTATTTGTTCAAAAGCTGCCAAAGCTTCTTAACTTGTATTCATGCTTTTCCACTTATGTTTATGTTTCATATTTTGTTTGTGCTGCAGGCTTCACCTATCATGATCAATGGTTTTCGGGTTGTCGTTGAGGAAAAGAGGTCTACATTTCGAGGTAGGTTCTGGGATATGCTCAGTTGATTCCATGAATTTATTCCCTGCTGTTGACTTGTACAGTGCTGTATTTTAATTGTGAATGTGAAATGTCTCCAAATTCTCTCCCAGTTCATGTGATTTGAAGCTAGAAGGTCTGATTATCTTTTTACCTTGTGAGCAGAAAACTATTTATGAGTTCTGCGTTGTCAATACATGTTCCATCAGTTCTTTCATAAAAAAAAAAAAAAGTTACATGTTCCATCAGTTAAGTAGAATAATTGCAACTTAGAGGGTACATGACTTTTTCAGACATCCTTGATAGCCTTTTTGACTTGAGGTCTTCGCTAGGGAAGTTGAATAAATCTACTCTCACCAGAATGGTATCTAACTAGCAGGGACAAAGTTCTCGCTTGGTGGTAGGTAATTTGGATTAGAATCTCCATTTAGGAAGGGGCTATCTCTAGCCATTATATGATGGCTAATAACGGAGTACCAACTAAAATATACGTCTGTTTCATTGTGTTTACTGAGGGATTTTCATCCGTGCAGGAAACGGTAGGGGTCGGTTTTCATCAGGCGGCGGCGGCGGTTATAGAAATGACGGAGTAAGAGGGCGCGGAGGCTTTGGAGGCGTTGGCAGGGCATACGGGCGCGGCGGGAGTGGCGGCATTGAATATGGGAGCAGGAATGGCGGCCGTGGTAGTGGTGGATTTTCAAACCGTGGGGGTGGTGAAGGATATCGCAGATCTGAAAAGACGGGGAACAATGGTGGTGGGCGTACGAGCCGTTCTGGTGGGCCGCCTATAAATGTGGCTAGAAGCACAGCGCCACATGTGTCTGCGACAGCTTGAAAATCCGAGTCCGACTGATGGTAATATTTCTGTTTAATCGCGGCAGTTATTTTGAAGTGCAGGGAGTCGTCTGGAAATTTGTTGAGTAGCATTAAGATGAGGTTAATGAAAATTTAAGTAGGGAGTGAGGTAACCTGAAGTTTTCGTTGGAAGGAAATTGGTTTTTGGTTGGTTTTAACTGGCAAGGGAGGGGTAGAAATTCTTGTCTGGTATACTAGTAGGCTAATTATGATATGATAACTAGCTTTAGACAATGCGGCGGCATTGGTTCATCTTCGCTATATGGAAAATACTGCGAGGGCGAACGTCTTCATTGGGTCTGCGTTGGCTCTTGTTATGATGTTTATGTGAATGTAGAATGTGTTTGTTGACGTAATATAGATTCAGCTGCTCGGTGGCTTCTTCATTTTTCTTTAGTACAAGATAATTGTAACACTCCAGTGGAGCATCAAATATGAAACTCGATGAATCGTGTTGGGTGTAAATATGAAGAAGCCACCGGTCGAGCACAGCATCCGATAGTAGGGCCAAATGATTGATGAGGACGATCCAAAGCCCATGGAAGGTTAAATTTGAGGGGATGAAAAGGCCAGGGTGGGTGCTGGGTAGCCCTTGGCCGCCCACCAAACCTTGATGGGGTGTTCAAATGGTGATCATTGTTATAACCATACAAAATAAGGCTAAATTCTATTAACCATGGAATACAATATCATAACCAAACCGTCCAAACTAATACAACAACCAAATTGATTAAACTTTACCAAACTAAAGTTTAATCGGTTTGGTTAATTGGTTAACCAGATTAACCAATATAAAATCACATTATCATTGACGATGAAAATTTTCCGGTTAATGCAACAATTCGCAATTTATATAATGAATAAAACATAACAATCAACACGTAGTTATAGTTGACCCTTAACAAAAATATATGCAACTAAGACAGTTATCTTACTATTAGTATAGAAGTATTCACCTAACAAAAATTTATGACAATGGTATTGGGTTAATGAATTGTTGTGTTTGTGTAAATTGACTTAGTCTCTTAGCAATTATCATAGGCTGGAAATGACCTTCCTTTCACGTTTTCATCCATAATAATGTATGAAATTTATCTAAATTAGGTGTCCATATGTTGTGGTCTACATTTTACATATACAAATATACACTATATGAGCAATATTGAGCTTTATATTTTATGAGTCTAAAAGGGATGAACGTTAACTCTTGAGTGGTTATGCAAAGTATTAAGTATGTATATAATATATGTTAGATATATGACTAATTACTTTACTGGTTAATTTGGTTTGATTGGTTAGGAGTGTCTGAAACCAAACCAAACCACCTAAACCAAACAAGCTAAAAACTTTAACCAAACCAATTATCCAAATCAACCAAACCAAATTATCCAAATAGTACCGGTTAAAACGGTTACCATGGTAACCAAACCGTTTGAACACCCCTACTAACTCTAGCAGCTGAAAAGAGATCCAGGGGGGAGTTGTATTTTTACGCTGCCAATGGACCTTGGAGGATGGATGAGCTTCATCAAGCAAGTAGACCTTGGTCGAAGTCGACGCAGTGGACTCGTTGACGATGGGCGTCGACGGACGTTGAAGGAGAGGCAGTGGTTGTGGATGTGAGCTAGTTACAACAAGAACACTACTACTATGCTATATAGTACTGGTGCTTTAATGTACAACTTGAAGTCGTGTCATAACATTAAATGTATAAGTTTAGGTTGTACCATAAATGAATTTGTATCATTATGTTATGGTACAATTTTACAATTTGAAGTTGTACCATCACATAAAGGTATAAGTTTAAGTTGTACCATAAAAGAATTTGTACAAAAAGTATAGGTACAGTCTGAAGTTATACCATAACGTTAAAGGTACAATTTCAAGTTGTACGATAAAGATAAAAACCTATAGCACAAATACTAATTAGCATTGTAAAATTCCTCCTACAACAAACAAACGGGAGTGCAATTGGTTGATGACCAAGGTAGGAAACGTATGGACAGAAAATAAGGTTGTTCACTCACAAATGGATTAAATTAGCATATGCGGGTACACTTATGGTAACATGTAAGGCACCGTGATTTGTACAATTCGGTTGACCTATATGCTCATTTGGTCGATCGGTTACCTCATCATGGTCATTTTGATAGCAACTATGGTTGACCATTAACATATAATGGTGACCGTTTTAAGGTAGTAATTACCAAAATGGTCGATCACAAAAAAAAAAAATTGGTCGACCGATTTGAGGAAGTCATAAAATAATGGTCGACCATAATAGGGAAGAGGTCGAACTTTCAATTTAATCATATACAAAATGGTGGACCATAAAAAAAGAGGTTGACCACTTCATGGAAGTCATTACCATATATGCAATGAGGTCGACCATTTTCAGGAAGAGGTCAACCAGATAGAAGAAGGGTCGACAAGACATCAATCCATCCCTCTTGAAGTGAAACGTAGAGGAAAATGTAAATTTTGCGGTTGACCGCTTATAGTAAATGGTCGACCGCTTCCAGTAATTTTGAGTTAGATAATTTCGAGTTCCCCGTTGCCCGTTGCCCGTTCCTTGTTCCCCGTTGCCCTCCCCTAAATAATTTCGAGTTCGATGTTGATAAGGTAATGCAATAGAGATCGGCCCTTTTAAGAATGAGGTATACCATTTAATGTACAAAGATGTCGACCTTTTTAATGTTTGCTTGCCAAAGAAGTCGACAATTTTATGTACAAGGTTGGCCGCTTTGTTGAACCTAACAAAACAGAAACAATAGATTTGGTCGACTTTTATTACTTTGTGGTCAACCTATTTGAATAAGTTATGATGACTTGCAAGTCACCGTAACAAACTCATTAGCGTGATTGATGGGTTAGGATGGGAAGGAGAAATCAAAACAAAAGTTAGAGCAGCCGCTTGGAGTGTTTGTAGCTTTGTATTAATTAAGGACGTAGTCATAAGCGCATGAGACCCTAGGTATTGTGGATGTTGGCAATGTAACAATTTGTCCGGATAAATCATTAAAGGACCACGAGATGGTGATTAAGTAAGTTGAACAAGTACGACGAGCTGAGAGATTTAAGTGGAAGATAAATGGTTCCTTTAATTTGCACCTTAAAGAGTTTGGTTTTGGTGTTCACTTTACACATTTTGGGTGCTAGAATGTATGTACGAATACGATTTTTATAGCATTATTTTTCAATCGTGGAGATACATAAAAATGAATATAATTGAATGTCTTCCACAAGTGTAGGGTGCTGATGTGGCGGATTGTGGTTGGATTATGTATGGTTATTGACTAATAGGAAACTGAATAGATCCGCTCCCCTGGAATATATGTCCGTTAGTTTTGGATATTTATTGAGCCATCTGCTAAGCAAATTGTTTATTTCAGAGCAATTAAATTCGAATGTTTAATTTTTCCCCTTTCTAAGATGTATAGAAATGAACATAATTTTGCATATCACAATTATTGTGCTCTTACTTACTGTCTATGTGTTTCAGCCAAAAAACAAGGTACGCAACGATCTGTGAAAGGGTGGGATGGCCCCCTGTATCTACACTCCTACGATCAACATTAATATGATGATAGAAAAATATGGAGAGTTTAGGTAGAGAGAGATATTGTAGAGAGATAAGTGATATGAGAAAAATGAGTCCAGAGGAGAAGAGAGCCCTTACTTGGAGGACCTAATAGCATATTTATAGGTCAAGACTTGTCTCACTTCGTTGGGCTTCTATTGGGCCTTTGTCGTGTTTTGTGAATATGGGCCCCTATGCGCTTGTGGACCATCGTTGTTATTCGAGTCAGGCCGCGTCATATTTACGACTTGCTTACGACAATCTCGTAGCTAAACTTATATAGAGAAGACTTAGGGTTAAAACCCTAATGACAACCAAGTTTCCTTCTTTTACAAGAACAAGGAAACGGGAGACTTGGAGGACAAGTAGGACACAAAACTAATTACTTGACAACTAATTAATATCCGCAACACTCCTCCTCAAGCGAAGACATGAATGACAAGAATGTCGAGTTTGAAACTGAACAACACTCAATCTAACAGGCTGTGACTTTTGTTCGCTTGTGGGAGAGGTAGACAAATGATGAAACTACTCCATGCTTGACCCAGTTCTTTTGACAATGAACTCAGCATGGCGGAATTCCTTGACATCTTGGATGAGATTGATCTGGAGATGACTGGCTCTCTCTCTGAACAACCTGACGAAGACGGTTGACTGCGTCTTCTTGAAGTTTGTGACGGAGACGGTTGACTGCGTCTCTGGAACTCACTGACGGAGACGATTGACTGCATCTCTTGAACGTCGTGAACTCACTCTTGTACATCGCGGTCGACTTGATGACTAAGCTAGTCGACCAACATATGTTGACATCCTTATTATCCCCCTCAAGCTGGAGCATGAACGACGTGAATGTCCAGCTTGAAAGCTAGAATGGTGTAGACTGAAAATTGACCGATTCTGAATATCGATGGGATTATCGCGTCTTGGATCGTGACTACCTCGCTCCACGACTTGACAAACTTTGTTGACGAAAACGGTTCTATCTCCTCAACGCCAGCTACTGCATGACTTGCGACGATGTAACCACCAACAGGACTTGTGGTGAGATAAACTCCACCTTCCACTTCCCAACTGTAGCGTACAATACAAAGGAAGTCCAAGGATACACAAGCACTAGGAAAGCTTTTACATTAACTTTAACGTCAATCCTTGTGCAAATACCAACACAACCTTAAAATCATTGATCTTGACATCAAACGCCAATGCCCCACCACAAAGTGTGATTGCTTGAAGAAGACCACCCGTCCGTGATAATGACCAGAGAACTCCTCGACAAACCAATTTTCACGAATCGAAGGATATGGGATGGCGCTACCGACAACTTCCCACGACTTGAGCAGATGTGGCGATCATGGAAAAGAGCACCATAATACATCACAACTTCCATAGCGCCACAATTTTGGAGAAGTAATCGGCTGGAGTGAGAAGAATGAGACAAACGACTAGACAAGGAGCACATCCATATATGTGAAGTGGGTGGTTTCTTCGTAATATAAGAATGAAAGAGGCCATTAGCCCATTACCATGACTAGAAGTATTATTTGCTTTTGGGTGAGACCCTGCAAGCATATGATCGCCAACTGCACAAGACTAAAGACGAGCTCCACCCAAAGATATGACAGAAGCGGAAAAAACTACTGGACATGCTTCTGAATGCATCTTCTCGATAAACTTTGTTGAACTGAGTGCAAAAGTTGGACGGGTCTTGGCACATCCACCGGAGGCAAGCCTAAACAGAGGCTTCACGGGAGAGATGCACAATTAGATCCAGCGGCAGAGGGCGGTAACTTTTGACACCAATAAACCAGACGAATGAGTGATGGCGATCTGACTTTCGGTGACTATGGACTGAATTCGGCTTCAAAGAAGTTTCGATGACCTTCAAGATGACTACCATGCCGCTGCAGCCTATAACTTAGCGACTGCAGCCGATTGATTCCTCCCGCTTGACGATTGATAGCGGAAGCCTGTTGGCATCGAGCTTGACTCTTCTTCGGACACGATGAAGCAGCTCAAGACTAAAACTCAGCTACGTAGACAATGAATTGAATCCGAAAATCAAACCCCTGATGATGGTAGATATGGACGGAGACACAAATGGGATCAATGCCTGATATGAGGGACTCGGCGCTTGAATTGACCTGTGTGAGCACAACCTTCTTGTGCGCACCTAGCTGGACTTGACAGAGACGCTGCTCGACTTGATGGACTCAGCAGGTGTGAGCACAACCTTCTTGAGCCCGTGACGAACCGGACGTCGGAAGCGGACAGTTCCGATGAGGGAAGAGAGACAACGCGAACAACAGGGAGAACGCTCAAAACCCTAGACAGGGAAAACGCCAAATAGGTATTGATTCTGATTCTCGCTCACTGCCGGACCAATAGAAGAACGGAAGCGATGTCGGGCACAGACCGATGATATTGATGCTGCCGCGGAGAGGCAACAGATGATGACTGCGGAAGCTCGAAATCATAGACAAGGATCGAGTTTCGCTCTGATACCATGTAAAAATTAATAACGCGAAATAACAAGAACACGGGATTTTACGTGGTATCCTCGATTGATTGATTGATTGATCGAGACTAATCCACGTCGATTGATTGATTGATCGAGACTAATCCACAGTAAGCTCGGAAGAGCTCACGGCTAACGTTTTATTCTTTTAGGACTACGTTGTGACGACTTGCTTACGACAATTTCATAGCTAAATTTATATAGAGAAAACTTAGGGTTAAAACTTAAAACTTTAATGACAACCAAGTTTCCTTCTTTTACAACAACAAGAAAATGAGAGACTTGGAGGACAAGTAGAACACGGAATTAATTACTTGACCACTAATTAATATCCGCAACCGTGTCCGACCATTACTCTATCAAATATGAAAACTCTGAGTCTCCCCTGGCTCATATCGCTTTAAGCTCTCGAACTTTAATCCTAGTTGATTTCTTCTTGCCTAAAATCACGAGCTCACACTCATAGAGGAAGAAAGGACGAGAAGATGGCTCGATCTGAATCTGGACTTGGCTCGAGGTAGGTGAAAGCGCGGCCAACATTCCCACTCTTGCCTTTTTTTTAAGGATTAGAGGCGAGCATCATATTGTTTCGAGCACTGTGAGCGAAACTCGAACTGCTTTTGGGGCGAAACAAGTCAAGGAAGCTATCAAAGAAAGGGTAGGTTGCATTCAGTCTCGGGCTCCCTTTTCATATATTGAATCGACAGTCGTCCCCCGAATGAAGTAAAGGCTCGAAAAGAAGACCTGGGTTTTTTGGGCTACTGCTTGGAAAAGGAAGATCTGGGTGTTTTATCTGGGTTTGGGAAGATGACACCCAAAATGGCGATGATAAACCAACAACGAGACGGGGCAAACATCGACGCCGGAGGAATGGTGGTTATGGCGACGAGTGGTATTGTGGCAAGGACGAGAAGGAGATGCATGATGAGATGATTTTGGCTGCGCGGGTAATTCAAAGCAACAAAGAGATGGGTTGTGGAATGGAGTCGTTTGCTGCTCCTTGGAGGCGATGGTGATTGATGATGACGAACCAGAGGTGGTGAGATGAATGGTCATGACACAAGAGCAAAACTCATTAACTAATTGACCCTCACTCGACCAAAATGACAAGATCTCTCTGCTTTTCATAAGAATCTGTTTCTCTCCCAAAAACATAAAGGATGGCTTTGTGAAGAGGACCTGAATGGGGGTAGATATTGGTCGGCACTTACTCATTTCTTTCGTTCAATACTCGGTCCCCCTACTTGGCGGACCAATTGTTTCAGCCAAAAAACAAGGTAAGTGCCGATGTGTAAAAGGGTGGGGATGACCTCCTGTATCTACACTTCGACGATCAGCATTAATATGTTGATAGAAAAATATGGAGAGTTTAGGTAGAGAGAGATATTGTAGTGATTAGTGATATAAGAAAATGGACTGAATCTCCATTTGGACCGGACCAAAGCAGACCAAACGGACCAAATGCACTATTGGTCCGGTCCTTGGTCCTAAGTTATCTTTCACTATTGGACCGTGTCTCTTAATTTGGTCCGATTCAGTCCGGACCGAACCGATGCCACCCCTAACTAGATGGGTTGATTTCCCCTCTTTGGCAAGGAAGAGAGGTTCCGTCTTAACTGGGCTCGGATGGAAATCAATATGTACAAAAAAAAACCCTAGTTGAATCGTTCCACGGCTAGGCCGGTCAGAAAATTTACCCATCCAGTCTTTGAATCGGTCGGGTCTTTGACCTGTTCAGATTTGGTTTGGTCGAGTCATGGATCAATCTAGTCATATTCAATTCAGCCTAATTAATTGATATTTTCTATTAGGGTTTTAATTTACAATTATGATTAGTGTGTAGTGTGATTATGATCAGTGCAGTCAAAATCGTGCATTAAAATATTTCAGTTTCTACCTAAAGCCGCTTAGTCACAAAAACTGGTAAAAACATGGGTAAAATCGGTAACATCGCTTAAAATCGATAAAATCGTGATTCTGAAACGTTTTTATACGATTTTGATAATCTCATAAAAATGTGCTAATCGTCCAATCCTATTCCTTCTTGGTCCATGTTCATGCCACAAACACATTTCTTTTGGTGCACAGTCTCCTTCTCACTCTTACCGACCATCGAGGAGGATACTATAGCCGGTCTTCGTGTGCCGCTCAGGTTGTTGCCTTTTTCAGGTGGAGGCGCCTTTGTTGTTGGCGGCAGCGCCGGCATTACGTGCGCACAGATCCTAGGTTTTCCTCGAGAGACTAACTTCAGAAGATAACGGAGCTAACTTCGATGTCAACAAGATTATTTCAATTTAGCATTATAATTAATACGTAAATATGATTTTTTTTATGGATTTACGCTGAATATGATTAATAAATATAATTAAATAGGGTAATTTAGAATTATGATTAGTATTTCAATTAATATGATTAGTATGTGCATTTAGAATCTTAAGAAACAAATAAAAAATTAGTTATTTCACCACGTGAGCTATTGGAGCTTTTGGGATTTTTGTAGTTTTTCAAATGCTTAAGAAATCCTACCGGTTGGTCGAATAGAAAATATCGAATATTGTTCAATTCGGTAGAATATTTCAGTGGTAAGAAAACCACGACTAAACTATGTTTTAATATATAATACACCAGCACTAAATTTTCAGGTATAACATCTAGTACGGGTTCACATTCATTAAACTTTTTAGGTACTACAACACTAAACTTAATTTTGTTACATTGTTATAATTCGAACGCGAACCAACATGCTACAAAATACAAATCCGCTCATTGTTTGAGTATGAATTTATCCGGGCAGAGCTAGACATTTTATGCAGGGATCTTTATCTGAAATTGAATTAATAATTTAAAAATAAAATATAATTTATTACAATAAAAAATATCAAACTAGTACAAATTACGAAAAATTATCACAACGTGTTTTTATATTCTGAAAAATTATAAAATACACTTCATTCTACATTACTCAACAAATACTTTCAATATAAATTACTAAACAATCATTCAAGAACTGATTGCCTATTCAATTTCGAAACTTGTTCTTGATGTAGTCTAAAACTAAAAACCATTTTAAAACACTTGAAATTGCAATAGGTAAAATTAATACAAGTTAAAGAAACAAATATGATGAATATGATAGATTTACATTCATCAATTCTTTTAATTCAAGAATAACTTCTCAAAGTGTTGTACAAAAGTGAGTCAGAAAGGTGACGAAGCTCATTTAGATAAAATCAAATAAAAATAATTAGGCAACAAAGTCACAAGTCATAAAAATTAACAACCTAATTTTACCTCATCAAAGAGATAGTTCAATTCTTGGAGTTGTAGATAAGAGCTGATTAAAACAACTCAACCTGATAGTGATGTAAGCTTCGTCAATATCATAAGGGAAGGAGATTGGAAATTTGATTTAGAGTTTGGTTAAAAATTGGGAAAATTTATTTTAATTGGACTTTGTTTTAGATTGAATTAGCATCTTTGTTTATATACGTTTTAAAAATAATAATGAGCCATTTATAGTGTAATGTATATCATTTTCTTTGATAATTGCAGTGTTACAGGTTTAAATCACAAAGGCTACTATATATTTTATTCCTTTTCTCAAAACTCAAATTACTATTAGGGGGTTGATAATTTTTTCTTCAAATTTAGGGGGTATCACAATCCATTTTGTTACATTTTGAGAAAAAATAGTCTTTCGAAAGACGTGTTGGTTGTAGCGTTATCACTATCATACCATTATGATATGATGTATTATCTTTTTCATTTTAAATAATTAAAAAAACTCACAAAATATGATGTATTATCTTTTTCTACATTTTGAGAAAATAAAAATAAGGCAAAATATGTGTGTTCGGTTATCATATCATTGTTGTACCATGATACTATCACTATGCTAATATAATGATATGATCATGGTAAGATGACGTAAATTTTTTTCCTACAAATAAATGAAAAAGAATATCATCTTGTGGAGCACAAACATGGACATGAGTTGACGGGGATATGTCCTTCTCATCAAGAGGTTATGTTGCACATGGCATAAGTCTCAAGAGGTCTGTGATCATGACTCGAGTGTCAGAAGAGGTCCATGGGTGAGAGCAAGAAGTATGTGGCCGCAAGACAAGAGGACCATGGGCATGAAGGGAAAGGGCCACGAGTGTGTCACAAGAAGTCCATGGCCGGAAGCGCGACGACCACAGGCTCTTCACACTAGAATGACATGACATATAGTGAAGCAAGCTATACTCTAGGACTCACAATGGTTTTAGAGAAGCACTAAGGTGGTTGAGGGAGCAACAACCACTCACACCATTTTGGAAAACAAATCAATCACGTCCAATAAAGAAGAGACCGGTTCTTCATAACAATTATAAATCATATGCTTCTCCACCCATGCCTATAAATGAGAGGGGAGTTTAATAAAGACCAGGGTTCCCAAATCAATACCCTACATCAAATTTTATCTTTTCTTAGAGAATCTAGTCATAGATGTAGTTTGGAGCTTTTGCTAAACCACTACAGGAGTATAAGTAACTTAACTTAGTTTCTTTCCCAAAAACCATCAATGAAACTCGTTCGAACTTAGTTTGAAGATATGTGATTCGTGTCATTGTAATTGTTGTTCAAGAAGTCAGATGCGTTTAGGTCAAATCAACATTAGTTTTCCCAATAGAAAACAAGTTGACACACTTAGTGGAACCTTGTGTTTAATTTGATCGATGCACAACAGAAAAAGGAGATGATCCTCTTCAAGAATTTGAGGTTCGGTGCAATGATCATGTCTCTCGAAAACCCTCCTAGTTGCGCCCATCGGCCCAGTGTCACCGCAACTATGGGTAACGTTCTACCTCCTCTAAGCTCCTCCTTCTTTTCTTATTCTCCTCATCCTCCATAAGACAACTACTACTCTCCAAATCCTCTCTCTAGGATTTAACAAAATCCAAAGTATGTTCAAATGAGGGAAGAAGACCTCTATTTATAGAGATCTGACATGGAGAAGTTCGTGGATAACGAATGGAAGATAGCAGATGCAACCTTCTTTTTCATGCCTTCAACTCGAAACGGTGACATGTTCGGCTGCTCGGGAGGTGAGATTACATGCCGAATTTTGCGGTCGCAAACAGAAATTCTCTGCCTTTATATCCTCATGGTCACCATTGTGAAGGATCACGAGGTCGACCATGATATCTTCTGTTCTCTTTGTCTGCAACCTCTCCTAGATTGCATCTCAAGCGATCAGAAATGGTTGCCGTGAACATGCAGGGGACATCATCTCATCTTGTCCTCCATCTTCATGGTCGTGAACTTGCACCATGGCTATGATCCTTCTTTTGACACTTTTTGCATACTTATCATACACTTGTTCTTGGATTCTTGATAATAACACTTAAAACCTGAAATGTCACTTAGAAGACAACCAAAATGAAAGAGGAAGCATTTCTAGGCAAAATAAAGAGTTAAATGTATTGTGGACGCTTGAATCCTTAAGAAAACAACTAAGCAATGAGGGATAGATAACACCATTTTAGGTGTTATCGAATTCCCCCACACTAAGACGTTTGCTTGTCTCCAAGAAAACATGTGACTAAAACATACAACTTGAAGTCCCTAGCCTCTACTCTCAATTTGTTTCTTAGGAGACGAGTTACTAGTGACTTGAAGTGCATAGTTTCCATGCCAACGTTTGACTTGCTTCAGTAAGTTTCGACTAGAATTCAGTAGGATAGTAGGATGATCAGAGACCCGTGCTAGATACAATATCGCAACCCATTGGCGTAGGCAAGACGATGGAATGCTTTCAACGATTCTATTATCTTCCTTCCCCTCAACTATTATTCTCCTTTTAAAAATTTCTCTTTGGGATTGTAGCACCATTTAGGAACAAGCTACAAGCCTCTTTATTTCGTTGAAAATTTATAGTTGGGAGAACTCACAAAACCAAGCAACTTCCGTCAAAGCTATATACCTTGGAGTCAAGATTCTCAAACAAGCAACCTATTCATCCAAACACCTTTTAAACATACAAGCCATGACACACACACACACACACGAAAAGGAGGGGTTATAAGACACAAAACATAAATATATATAAAGTTCTACCTTACTTTACTACTAGTGTTGTTTACACAACAGTAAATAAGTACGACAAAGGAAAATAATGGTGGGTATAGTTCAAGTCAAAATAAAGAAAAATGAAAAAGAAAGAAATTAAGATAGAAAGAGGTAGGATTCGGCCCTGAATTTCCTTGAATGTACTACTCGTCGTCTTGTTGTTATTGTTGTGGTTGTTGTTATTCATTTACTTGTGGTTGTTCATAGTGATGTACTTGTTATTCCTCTTTGAACTAGTATTGATGTACTTGTTATTCCTCTTTGAACTAGTATCAATACCCACTGCTACGCCGCAGGGACTATTTAATATTTATACATTCTAATTAAGCAAGATGATTCAATTCTCTTTTTATCTATGAAACATTAATTCCATCAAAACAGGTATCATAAAACTCGTATAAAGCTAGTCTATTATGCATTAGACTTCTATGTTAAGTAATAATCCATAGTCACTACACACAATCAAGACCAATTGCTGCCTTTGACCTTCTACCTTGGCAAATTTGAGGCTTCAAACCAGTATCTCACCGCCATTTCTTTCAACTCCTTTCCTTGGTCTGTGTACCCCTCATCCAGTATTTCTATCACGTTGCAGTTGTCAAGTAGGTGCTTTATGCACATGTGTTGGCCTGTATAAACAAATTCGAGGCTATTACTAATGAGACAACAATGAGAAGCTCCCAGTTGGGGATGAGAGGAAGATAGAGTTGGGGATGAAGTGCAGCCAAGAACTACAGTAATTACCTGTTGTTCCCGGAAGATGGTCTAACTGCAGAACCACCACCGTTGTCAAACCCACAATACCCTAACCACTGCCACCGTCCACCACAATCTAAAGCAAATTTCCAGTCAAGTAGAGTTCTGGAATTGCTCCATCACATCCAAGTTTTTCAGTCGATGGAACAGAGAAAATGTATGTCCTTCTGTAATAGAAAATAATGAATCATGTCCATCAATGAGTTGAATCCATAGTAAACAATGAACCACCAGGGCAAAAAGGTAGAGCCAAAGCCTCGAGTTAGTTTAGTCTTGGATGTGACCTAATGCACTTGACAGTATCCATTATCAGCTAGCATAGATACCTTAATGTATTGAGAATGGTAACAATATAGAGCTAAAGAAATAATTGAGAAAACAAAGCAATCGAAAGCAGGGGCAAAGAAAAGGAACAATGCAAGTATTAGCAGGGTTCATGTCTGTCCGTCATGGATGGGTCATCCTTCTATGTGCTCTTTCTTGACCCTCAATTATTCCCTAGCTCACCAAAACCTACCAAGGCTGGAGCAAAACGAACCAAAAGAGCAAAATTGCAACAAATTTCAGGAGATTAACTAATCACAAAATGCACCTGGCGTGTTCTTTTCTTTGTAAGGTTTCTTTATTTCGCCAGGCACTTTATTTGAACAAAACAAATAGCTGCAGGCAGAGAGAAGGCTTGCAATCGTCTGTCTGTTTATCAAACGAACACCTCAAGTTGCTTCCACCTTATTCTATAATATACCCACACCAGAACTCCATCCCAACTTTGAGTTCCAATACCTAAGACGGCCAAAGCTATTTTTCTTTCCTTCCTCCAATGCATTTCAGTTCATTCATTATGGAGAAACAGCAGCAGCAGTGATGAGAGGGCAAAGTACCAGAACTTCGAAGCTCAAGCGAGTAGGCAATGAAATGTTGGTTGTTGTGTGCGACTCTTTCTCCTCCTTTACCAAGTCTTCTGCTTCACATCTTCCTCCTCCCAGCATTCATTCTCCCTCTCTCACTATAAGTCACTCATTCCTGATCTTTCTACTTCTGCTGCTAAGCTGTTGCAGCAACTCTCCTCCTTCCTTGAGAGTACATAAAAATAAACAAACTTGAGAACTGCCAAAAAATTCTGCAATTCGCTTGCGCAATAACCTGCAACAACACCTAAGACAGGTCGACTGTGTTATTGGCGCCTGAAAGAAGGAAAAACCCCGATGAAAGAGTGACCAAGTTCAATAAATAATCCAGCAAATGTACCTATGGAAGAAGACCTAAGCGATTTAAAAGTTCCTTCCTACTTTGTAACTTCCCATTTCAGATCTGCAAATTCTTTCATGGATTTCTTCTCCTTCGGTTTTTTCTTGGTTTGTTCTTCTCTAGTATGAAGTCTTCACATTCTTCCTGGCGTCCCTCACTTGTGTATCTCATCGATCCCTTGAATACGAAAGAAGTAACCGATGATGGTAAGTAGTAAATCATTAAAGTTTTTCACTTTCACAAAACTATCTAACTCATGAACAACCTACCTTAACAAACGTTTGTTGCTGTAGTGAGTCAATCCAATCACACTTTCACCACATCGTCACACTGCGGCAAAATCTCGGTGATCTCAACACCTTTATCTCCTGCCACGGCGTTTTTTTGCCTCGCGTTGGGAGAACTGTGTGATGAAGTAAATCTTCCCAATAGAAAGAACCTCTTTCAATTGATCCGACAGATGCTTGGAGGCAAGCCCCTGTACCAGCACCCCCTGGCAGAAGAAGAGGGAAGGGCAGAATCAGGAAGAGCAAGCACACGCGCGGACAAGCAGAAACCAAAAGTGGAGAGAACTCACCAATTCGTCCATCCAAAGTGTCGCGTATTCAGAGAACCCGTCGGGCCGGAAGAGTTCCCAGCCATCCATGTATGGAGGAGGCGCAATTTGAGAGCAGGACCTTCGCCTCAGGCATGCCAGCTTCGAGAAGACGATATGATTCATGGCGGCGAGTAGAAGAGGCAACAGCGGCTGAGCGGGTTAGCCGGAAGGCTGTGGCGGTTACGGGGAGAAAGAGGAAGCTAAAGAATAGAATGAGAGATGGAACCGAAGAGGACGATTTGGGCGAGAAGAAAGCAATCAATTTTCTCTGCACAAAGTGAAGGAAAGCAAGCGGCGCAGAAATTATGGGCGGTTGCGTGAGCGAGGCAGTGGGCAGGGGTTAAGGGAATGGGAAAATTGGGGATAGCAGAATGGAACGGCGAAGAGATAGACATGACCGAGCACTGACCGGTGAATGCTTGATTTTGTGGAAAAAGAGTAGGAAAGGTACGACAACTGTAGCGCTGACTGTAGAGTATGGGCGGTGACTTTTGCTGGACTGAGGGGAAGGACGAGGGGGATAGGATAGGAGTACGGCTACTCGAAGCGGGGTAAGAAAGTGCGTTCGAGGAGAGCTTCTACACTACCTGGGCGCTAGATGCCAAGAATTGAAACAGTGTTTAGATTCTTTGGGGTGAAAAAGCGTACTCCCCTTTCATGTTTTACAAGAATTTGAGGCTTCATTTTCTCTTCTTGCCTAGCCCGATTATGATTCCTCCATGTATAATGACGAGGGCTAGGTGGAATAGAGGTCCCGGGAGGAGGGTTTGAGCTCTCTCTCATATAAAATCTTTTTCCTTTGTGGGAATGCCTACTCAAGAGAAAAAATCACAGGATATATCCAAACAAACATCTTTAGATTCAACTCGATCAACTGAATAACAAAAAACATCCTTAGATTCAACTCTATGCATCCCTACAATAGAATGTTACAATGTATAAATTGTGGGTGCATAGGTTACAGTGCATATAATAAAAACTAAGTTCGAAAATTAATGCATGAAAACTAGAGCGTTATGTCTTTTAAAAGTTCCTATACCGTGGCCAATGGCAAGGATTACCTCATTAGGCAACAACCAAAGCTTGAACTAAAAGCACATAAAATTACAAAATCGAGATTGAGCTCAAGTTGCAAACTTTGGATCATGCATAAAAAATTCAGTATCAATCCATGAGCACACGTCTAAGGGTCTACACTTGTTATACATGTTCAATTCAAAAGTAGTAAATCAAGAAAACAAGATATTTGTAGTTTGAACATTTCATGGAGCACTTGGTGGGCATTCATTCACTATACTCAATATCAAACATAACAAACCCATCAAGACCTCCAAACCCACATACACATTCACAAGCACATGTTCTAGGATCCCATTGGACTAATCAAGACATTCACCCACTATAATTGACTTTGGTTCAACAAATACACAAACCAAACATCCGATATGTCAAGTACAAGCATGGAAAAGGCTGAATTTCTAACAAAATTTTTAACACACCTACAAATAACATAAATCCTGCATGTATTATTTCATAGAAATGGGTAAAGAAAGTGAAAACCGATGGGTTGGGTTGCCTCTATACAAGCGCTTGTTTTACGTCTTAAGCTAGACGGGGGGTCCCTAAGTCTCGGTCCACCCCACAACCACCTTGAAGTTGAGGTTCTCGTCGGTAATGTAGACACCACATTTTGTCCGGAGCAACCATCCTGCTCAAAACTCAAAAGAATATCCAACTTAAAAAGAAAACTCAAGTAAAAATTTGGACGAGGTTGGTTGAGATTAGCAATGCCAAATCAATAAGTACCAACGATTTTTAAGTCCGTTTTATTTGGTTCGAATATTTGTACTAGGTAGGATTAGCAGTAGCTAATAGCTATCGAATTTGCTTTATTTAGAATAACAATAGTATGTTGTCGCGACCTATGCTAATGTCATTGTATTCAGTTGGTCTCATTGGTCTAAAGTTGGTCAAAAGGGATAGAAAGATTGGTAATTTTGCTTAACGACCCAAATCCATGGTTTGGGAAGCATTGATTAGATGTTTGGATTTGGTTTGAAATTGGCTAAGTGAACAAATTGGGTTGGAAGAATCAATTGAATGTTTGAGCACTACATACAGATACAATGATCATCTAATTCTGAAGGCAATAACATAAATAAATAAATGTGTAATTACAAAGTACAATTTATAACCTTTAAGATACACTTAGTAATTATACATTAAATCAGAAACAAACCCACACCAGCAGCCCAATTCTCAAACTATAAAACTCAACCCAGGCCCATATTTCGGCCCAATCCAGTATGATCAGCCCAGGTCCACTCTGGTCGAATTGGTCAACTCAGATCAACCCAATCAACCAAACCCATCATCCCTATCTTATCTAAAGGAGCAGCAGAGCAGCAGTTATCTTATCTAAAGGAGCAGCAGAGCAGCAGAGTAGCAGAAATTACTGCCGCCTCTCAAAAGAAGGAATTCGGCCACCTCTTCCAAAGAACCAACACCAAACTGCCAACACAAAAGGTAGTTCAGACCACCACCTCAAGAGCAAAGGAGGAGGAGCCAGCACACAATGATGAACAGTAAAAAGTGATCATATATAAGGGGGTTTTTTACCCCAAAAAGGGGCAGAGAGGATTTGGTGGAGAAAGTAAAGAGAAGGGAAGAACCAACAACAAAAACACACAAAAAGGGAGACAAAGAGCATTAAAGAGCACTAAGCACCAAAAAGACAGAAGCACTAAGGATCCAAAAAGGGCAGGGAGTCAGAAACAGCAACAAGCTATTACCATCAAAATCCGCTAAATCACAGCACAGGTTGGTATTCTCTACACCCCATTAACCATACAAGCATTCTAGTTATCCATATATCCATGTAGTAAATCTACTTAACATATGATACTTCTAAGGTCATAATCCATGGTTAAGTTGCTTAAGTTTGTATGTAAAGGGGGTATTGTGAAATCCTGATCTTTGTGATATGTATGTTTCTCTTTACTATTCATTTTTTAATTTTTGTTACATGCTACAATAGACCACTTCCATTTATCATCAAAATACAATAAATTAGCTTAAATTATTCTCAGTTTTTCTAGCAAGCATGATTCAGGTTAAGTTGTTAGGTGAACTTAGCAATAATATCAACCAGGCTAATCCGTTTACTCATTCAACACATAAAAAATCCAACAATCTATTCAACACACAAAAATAGGACCCAAACTAGATTTTTGAGAGAGTATTTTAAAATACCTCATTTGATGGTTAAGGGCGCCCCTTTTTTACTCAATTACCAGATTTGGTAATCCCAAAATGCTCATTTAGTTACCATTTGTATACTGAATACAATAAAAGTCATGCCTTCATTAAGAATTCCATTTACTACTAATTAGCATTATACTTTTAATCAATTACTTAACCAAAGCCCCACTTTAGATAAGCTTCCCATCAAGGTGATGGTCATGAGCAGTAGCTATGCCCAACTAAGTTAATTTTCTAAATATCCCAACAAAATTGTTTTTAGCTAAATAATTAAATCATAGGTTCTTAGCAGCCAATCGGAAAAAATCTAGATTGAGAGGGATATCACCTAGCCTTCCTCAAATTGAAGAGATCTGCACAGAATCAAGGAATCAAAAAAATTCAGGACCCATATAATGATAATAAATAAAAAAGGCAGAATAGCAATAAAAAGGTTAACGAAGACTCACCCAAACTAAAACCTCGCCGTCGGCTCTGGCACTGGCCGCGCCGCCGGCGACCGCCGCCCTTCCCTTCCTTTCCTCGACAGAGATCCGAAACCAAAAAAAACAAAGAAAATCCAAACAAGTCAAAATCCCAATATTATTTGTTAAATCGAATAAAAATGGACATGCATTGTAAAAGCGGGCTTACCAGAGGGTAAAACCTCCTCGTCGTCACCTCTGTTCCAACTAGAAATGATAGATCGAGATTATTAGAAGGCAAATCGAGGCTCCCTCCTCGGTTTTGGATCGATCTCCGAAAGAAAAACAAGAAAAAGGTTAGAATCTCGCTCAAAAACACAGAAATAAAAAAAAACAAATTTGCATGCAGTGATCTTACCTAGATCGAAGGTCTCCCGCTCGATTTTTTAGCGACCTTCGTCATATCGAGGGACGAGAGGGGAGAGCGGCGGCGGCGACCTTGAGCGAGGCTAGGTTCGGGTTTCTCTGGCCGAGAGGGAGAGAGTGTAGGGTTTGATTTTGATTTCTGAGAGTGTAGGGTCTTCTCTGGACGAAGGACGAGAGGGAGAGGGTGTGAGCGGCGGACGCTAGGTCATTAAGGATAGGGTTTGATTTTTGTGTTGTAAGAGACTATATATACCTCAAGTTTTAAAATGACCAAAATGCCCCTAGGGTTTCCGGCAATTTACGCGTCCCTGCCACCACGTTTTTGTGCAAGTACTAGAATGCCCTTCCCTCTTTTCTACATCAAAACGAGAAATAAAAAATTCCTCCACCAACGCGCTTCGAACCCACAACCTCCGGATCAAACGCGAGCACGGTCTGGCATTTCAGCCAGTTGGGCTACCGGCCCATAATGCATTAATATAGTCATCCCGTTTAGTTTTATTTCTTTTTAAAATCGTTAATACGAATTGTGAAATGCGGATTAAGTTTGTCTCATTTCTTTTTCTAATACACCAAGATACATCCTAATAATTAAAATTCTAATAATAATCAATCTAAATTTTAACAATAAAATTCTATTACGAGAATTACGTTCAGTGGAACGTGGTAAAACTACAATTAAATTACCAAAGTCCTAACGAACTACGTGGACTTTGATCCCGTCTAACGGGTACGTAGGCAACCGATAAGGTTCGAATCCAACTAATCCACTAACTTTATCTTTAAATTTGTACGTCAGTGGGCGTGTAATTAAGTTACAACTAATACGATAAAATCATTAAATGGTCCAGTGGGGCCCTAAAATTACAAAATTATTACTAAAAAACACACCCAATTCATTTAAAACTTATCAACTTAAGTAGTACCGATTTAGGGCGTTGTGGGGGTGTTTCTTAACTTCCCCACACGTAACCGTACTCCCGATCCCAGAACTTTATTTTCGCATACCATATCTCGGTTCCGACCCTAAGGTTAGAGCCGACACCAAGAGTGTTCGATCCACTCCGAGTAAGATTGATGGCGACTCCCAAAAATGCCGACGCGACGACATCGGACCCCCGGAGGGACGGTTGCGACAGGTAATGTAGAGTCTCAAGTCATGAAAATGAAAAACATCAAATGATGTGGATGGCTAGTAGACTTGATAACAATTGAGGCTCCACCACGATACCTATTCTTGTTTCCTTCGTCTTTTTCTCTTCGGCCCATACCATGTAGGACATCACGGGTCGACTATCATCATATCTACTAAGAGGGATTGATGATTGTGTGGCCCTGCTTGGAAAAGAAACAATTCAAATGGGCCTTTCTTGAGAATAGCATCAAGGTCAGGTGGGGATCTTTGGTAGCACTTGTAACTTGTCGAAACTTCATCCACCACAACCTCGTTCAATGATTGGACACCAATTGCATCCTTAACCGCCCTTTTTCTTTCAAATTTGGTCCACCCCTTCGGAAAAATCAACAAATTCCACCTTGGTACTCACTTCATCCTCCTAAACCTCCTCTCTCACCTTCCCCCTACTTGGCTTCAAGCAGGAATTGGAGGTCAAGTAGCCATCCAAGGTTGTCGACAAGGTTATCTTGCTCCTCCACCCTTGTGACTTGTTTTTCAAAGTTAGTCTTGGGATGTGGAAAGGTGTGAAAATCTTCAATGAGACATTTATGCTCTCCATGGAGCTCTCTAAGATGAGTTCCTCATGCTCCAAAAATTCAACATTGAACACCTCTTCAACCTCCTCTTCATCTTTAAATGCTAAGAGAGGATTATGAGCTAATAGTGCAGAAGCTTGCTTAAAAATCGCTCTTAGCTTCGCTACTGTCTTGAGAGTCTCCTCTGTTTCATATAGAAGAGCTGAATCAGAAGTGATGATGGGTGTAAAGGCCACATTGGAGCATACTCTTTCAAATTGCTCAATGGGATCTTCGGCTCCTCTGGTGGATGGAAATCTTGTTGGTATGAGGAAGCTTCTTGAAACCCCATGGGTATGGTTGTTTTTCATGGAAGGGAGGTTGTTCATGGATACTTCCCTATGGGACCTTCATGGGTGTTGTGGATACCTGCACATTTTAGCGAAGCCATTTGGGATCCATGATTCAACCTGCACAAAGAAATTAAAAAAACACCCTCAAACTCAAATGTGGAAAGAATACAAAGAAAAGAAAGATAAATTAAAAGAATAAAGAAAGAATATATTAACAATCAAGCTAAACTTCAGTTAGTTATTAGTAAAATTCCGGATAACAGTGGCAAAAACTTGATGCTAGGATTGTGTGTGATCAAGTAATAATACGATGCACACTGACTACTAACCCTAAAAGTGGCAAGTATACCACTGTTTAACTTGCAGTATCATGGCTCCGTCATATGCCCAAAGGATTGCAATACCCTAGCCTACTCTCGTTAAGTGGGACTATTATCTAATTGACAATTTGTTATTTTTAGTACTAAGGAATTGCTAAAGCTATGATAAAGTGATAACACCCAAAATGGTATTATTTATCCTTCATTTATTGGTGTTTTTGTCATTTTGAACATGATTAGATTTGTAAAACTTATTTGTGGATAGAACACTTTCTTTTGTTATATCATGGCATTTTAGGTGAATTTTGGCATTACATGCTACAAAGAGGAGAAAATGGGGATAATGTGTAGGAAAAAGGGCAAACATCAACTTCGCAGCCAAAGGAGCATGATCATTGCTGAGATTCCCAAACCTCGAAGTCAAGCTAAAGATCTCAGGCGGATGAAGGAAGATCGAAATCGCGATCTTGGGGTTCTCAGCTGTGAACTTCAGCAAGACTGATCGGTTGCTAATGCACGATTTAGCTTTAAATTTATAAATCAATGCACACTCTCTATTCCATCCTAACTAAGCCAATTATAACCTAGATAGGGTTGTAGTAAAGTGGTTCGGTCGTATTCTAAGGGATCCCCAAGCTTACTATTACTTTGCTTCGAACTACTATCTAATCGGGTCAAAAGTTTGGTAGGGGGTTGAACTAAATTAACCTACTCCTAAGGAAAAACAAAAAACCACCAAGTGTTGGGAGAGCGCTAGAGATGAGTCGATTGCATATGGTCGAATCCTCCTAGCTATGGTTGTCAAGTAGGGTTATCGAATGTGGTGAGTGAACTCTTTTCCATGGGATTTTGTGGTTATCCATGCCTCCTAGTACGCCTCCCCTAAAACCATAAATATTCACCTCGATCTAGGCTTTCGTATCTGTGGGACTGAACTTATGGCTCATTTCAATGGACAGTATCCACCGTGTACATTGAGGATTTATCCCGGGCTTTATCTAGAAAGGCTAACCTACGGCAGGGGTTCGGTCTCGTTGACCACCCTAGGTCCCTATGTATACATCTATCACAATTTTCTTTATGGCGCATACCCGTCTAACCCTAGAACTCTATACCCAGCGTAGAAGCATAAAGTTGGCTAATAGAGAAGATTAGGGCGCCCTACCACAAAAACAATCCAAGATAGAAAGGCGATAGAATCAACTAAACACTTTCATTCACAACCCATTCACACACAACCTATAAACTAGGATTAATATTCCCTAAACAACCATTAGAGATTCAAGTCATTAGAAAGAAAGAAAATGCAAACTAGAAGAGGGGAATGATGGAATCAAACTTCTTCTCCTTGATTTCACCTTCTCCTTGCTCCTTGGGTTGATTGGATCTACAATGAAGCTCTCCCGAGGTGTTTCCCTCTCTAAAACACTCAAAAACTCTAAATTTCTCTCTCTAAGACGGCTCTCCTTTGAAAGATGCAGCAAAGGGAGTATTTATAGGCAACTGGTGTTGGTCATGGCCTCGAGGGCATGACGGGATGGTCACGACCGTGGCCTGGCAGTGACCAGCTGGAACGTCCCCGTATCGCCCGAAACGACGCGTTTTGACTCCGTCTTTAAGATCCAAGATCGAGGCCTCCTTCATAAATTTGCGACCGCGATCTTTGTTGCAGTGAAAATACGTCATGCCCGCGATTCAACAGGGGATACTTTTTGTCTTCCTTTCGATCACCATCTGCAGTTCACGATCACTATTAATGGCCGCGATCTTCAGGACGCGAACTTGGTCACAGCCGTGATGTGTGGCCGTGACCAGTGCCTTTTCTTTCCTTCTTGCTCCTATGCTTCCCGATCATGCTTGGATGAACTCCAATTGATTCATGATCAATCCCAAACTAATATAAGACCTGGAATTTCATCACAAACACTTGGAAAAGCATAAAATACCAAAAATTGGGGTCGGTTTGCCTATGAAAACCTTCATATCATGAATACCTAGTCCAAAATGCATGTTTTGCAAATAGGAACGAAGATGGACATAAACAACTTGATATGTTGCCTAGACATGGTGAATTAGTGACTCACTTCTACTGTCACTCCAGGAATTGGCCAAGTGGAACCACTCCCTAAAGCGTAGTATAGCGGGTTTAGGTTTAATTATCAACCCGGGTCCTAGATTTGATGACTACTCAGTGAATTCTTGTTATCTAGCAATGAAACTTTAATGCAGGTTTAAACTAACAAACTAACAAAGCAACTAAACGGTTGTATTCAGGTTAAGAGAGGTCACCCGGATATGGTTCCCCCTAGACTGCAGTTAAGCCGGATTGTAATTACCAAGTTCAGTTTCTATGATAGTTATACTGCGGAAGGTTCTTAAACAGCCTTAAGTCTCGACTAAAGGTCTTCAGACCCTCTCAATCTGAGCCTCTAGCGGGCGACTAACCTCCACCGGAGTAAACAGATTGAGAGCTTAACAAACAAAACCTCCACTACCGGAGTAAATCCGGTACAGAATAGTGAGTTGGCTCCTCGACTAAAGTCACCAACTCCCTATCTTCAATCAAGGATGCTCTATCAACCTAGGCAGATATTCTCATTCTAGGTCAAAGCATAAACAACAGGAATTTGATCAGGATTCAAGTCATTCAATCATTCAAACCTCAATCGAATATAATCAAATCATAGAATCAGTACTTGGGTTCATACAATCAAAGCCTAACATACAAATCTAGGGTTCTCCATACCCAGATGAATGGGAGAACTAGTCCATGGAGAAAGAAGCAAAAGCAGAATCAGACGCGAAATTCATACTGTGAAGGATGGATTCCTGCTTCTGGACGTTGATCGACACTTCTCCAAGCTCAAACTGGCCTCCAATGGTGTTGAAGATCAATCTAGGGCACTTGGAGACTCTTGTTCGTCGCTTTCTCTCTCTAGGAATCGTTCTCCCTCTCAAAAACTCGAATCCCCTTCTGTTTGGCTGAAAATCTGCTTAAAAAGGCATCAGTGGCCAAAGCACGGTCGAGGGCACGGCCGTGCTTTGCCTCAGACCGCCCGTGCTTGGCTAGGGTTAATTACATGGCCATTGTGTTGGTGCAAACACGGCCGTGCTTTGGGAGAACACGCCCGTGCTTTGGTAGAACATGCCCGTGCTTTGGTAGAACACGCCCGTGCTTTGGGAGGACACGGCCGTGCTTTGGTGAAGCACGCCCGTGTTCTATCTCAGCCCTGCCCGTGTTTTGGCCAATGTGGTCCAAACTCGAATTAGCTCTCGGTAGTAAAAGCACGGTCCAGCTCACCGAAATGACTTCCGAATGCCCCGAAACTCGTGCTTAGCCTTCCCTTTTACACCTGGGACCTGAAACATGACAAAATAGCACAACCCGCAATAAAATAGGCCAAAAACACACGACTATGCCCCTCAAACGGATAAGAACTAGGGGCGCAAATTCGTGCAATTACATCGTTATCAAATTCCCCCACACTTAACCATTTGCTTGTCCCCAAGCAAACCTAGCTCAAACCAATGCAACTCTCCAGACCTCTATAGCAACAAACAACCCAGATCGTAGGTAGAGGATTTCCTAGATCATTTAGCAGCTTACGAGGTCAACCGAAGCACAAGTCATCTCATAGCTTCTTCGGCGAGAGCACTAGTATCGAGTCGGCATCATGGCAAATAGTGAATAGAGGACAAATGAATCGTGGATGGAGAGATTCTCAAAAACAAAGGATCATGGACTCACATTTTTCAAGGTGCTCTATTTTCTTCTTGAAGATGGTTGGAACCCCTTTTCTTTCTGTTTTGCTAGTTTTCTGTTATTTTTTCTTTTTTCAAGGGTCCCAACCGGCTCTTACCGGCCATGCCAGGAGCGTATTTCTCGAGCCTCGTGCGGGGGAAAGACATGTAAGGGGGCTGGAGGTAGTAGGTGGAAATTGGGAACGAATTCCCGTCTCCCCTTACACACTTTCGCCCTATTCGCACGGGAGACGTTATTTTGAAGCACATTATCGAGCACCTGTTAAACCCAAAACATGATACAAGAGTCCATGACAGGTAGAGAATCCACAACACCACACAATTCAAGGGTCCTAAGATCACTAATTCACTCAATCAACCAACACAATATGAAGAAGAAACGAGACTTCTTAAATGCATCAACATCCTCCATAGTGCTACACTACCTCCCTAGGTTGCATATTACTATAAAGACTGTCAATTCAAAGCATACTGAGCAGGCAATTGCAAGGAACACGTACTTGGAGCCCTCAAATTTAAAAATTTGGACAGTGGACTAGGCTCCAAGCACACAAACAGATCTAATGCAGTTAAAGATAAACATCCCCCCACACTTAAGATCGACATTGCCCTCAATGGAGAAGAGGGAAGGAAAAGGGGAACGATGTTACCGGTATGCACGGACTGCAGGAGACTGGAGACAGGCCAGTCGGAGTGAAGCGGACTGGAGAGAGGACCAATCAAGCCAAGCACAGCTAGAGGAAACCAAAGAGCTCAAACACAATATGTTAGGTCCAATGTCAGCCCAATAAGACATCATCCAAAACAAAAGAAAACAAACCAAAACTAAACTGGTTTACAATCCGACTCAAAACACAAGAAAGAAAGTCAAACCGTGGTGGGGTTGCCTCCCCACAAGCGCTTCTTTACCGTCTTTTAGCTGGACGCCCATGGTGGATACTCAGGGCGGTGCAGGAACAGGTGCCTTCAAGAGCGGATCCACGTCGCTCTTGAGGTACAGCTTCAGGTTGTGGCCATGCACCCGACGGATGCGACCACCATCATCAGTCAGCTCGACCTGGCCATCCGGCAAGATGCAGGCGAGTGAGTACCCGGACGGCCAGGGTGGTCGTGGTGCCGGAGGTTGGGGCCAGCTCATAGAGGTCTCCACTCTTCTTCCGTGCAGGGGTAGCAACATGCTGCTTCGGCCGCCACTCCTCCTTGAGCTTTTTGTTCGGAGGTGAGGCTGGATGGAGTGGCGGCGAAGGAATAATAGGAGGGTCCTGCAAAATAAGAGGTGCAGAAGGATACACGACAGGCTCGTGTACCTGATCAGACATAGCATGCACAGGGGTGACAGCAATCATAGCACAGTGGTCAAATTCAGTCACAGAAAAAGTAGCATGTTCATTCCCAGCACGCAGGATCAGTTTACCATCATGCACATCAATAAGTGCCTTGGCGGTGGCAAGAAATGGTCTACCCAGAATCAAAGGTACATCCACATCCTCATGTATATCAGGAATAACAAAATCAACAGGATATGTGAATGCACCAACACTAACAAGCAGATCCTCAATGATTCCCCTAGGATGCACAATGGAACGATCAGCTAGCTGAATGCTCATCCTAGTAGGGCTAAGTTCACCTAGGTCTAGCTTTTTATACAACTTATATGGCATGACATTTATGCTAGCGCCTAGGTCCGCCAAGGACTTGCCTACATGCATGCTGCCAATAGTAAGAGGGATAGTAAAACTCCCTGGGTCCTTGCACTTTTCGGGCAGCTTGTTCTGCAGGATAGCAGAACACTCCTCACTGAGCATCACTGTCGAAAGATCCCCAAGTTTCTTCTTGTCGGTGAGGAGGTCTTTCATGAACTTGGCATAATTGGGCATCTTCGAAAGTGCCTCCACGAACGGTATGCTGATGTTGAGCTGCTTCAACATTGCCATAAACTTGGCAAACTCAGTCTCCAGCTTGTCTTTGTGGAGGCGAGTGGGGAAGGGAAGCTGGGGCACATGCTCCTTAACCACTGGTTGTGGCTTGGGAGCAGGAGCTTCCTTCTCCACCCGCACTTCTGCATCGTCGGCTGGAAGTGCTGAAGCAAGTAGTGGTTCCTCCTGTCTGGCCGGGATAGGATCAGCAGATATGGTCTTACCGCTCCTGGTAAAAATGGCATCCAGCTGCTGAAGCTGGTGAGGATCCAGAGGATTCGGGATAGTGGTGGCGGGCATAGTCCCCGGTGCCCTGGCAGTGTTTTGGCGGGCCAAGATACCCACCTGGTGCTGCAGATCTTGCAAGATGGCACCCTGGTTCCTCTGACCTGCCTCCGGTGATGTGATAGCTGCCTGAGTGCTAGTCATGAATGAAGCTAGAATATTTTCCAGCTTTGTCATCCGGTCATCTGGGGCCGGAGCTACTGCTGGCTCGGCAAACTGGCGCTGGGGCTGCTGGAATGGTTGCCCCTGCCTAGGCTGGTAGGGCTGTTGCTGTGGGGCTGGCCCCTGTCGAGCCTGGAAGGGTTGCCTCTGCTGAAAACCACCTGCTGGTGCTGGGAAACCAGGTGGTTTAGTGGTGTTGCTGCTCCAGGCGAAGTTGGGATGCTGGCGCCACCCCTCATTATATGTGCTGCTGTACGGGTCGAGGCGCCGAGCATTGGCGATGAAGTCCAACTGCTCTTGGGGAGTGGTAGACTCCCTCATAGCCTGGCAGTCCTCCACTAGGTGATTGGAGCTCTCGCACCACTGACATTGAGCTACTGGAGGTGTAGCCAAACCTCTGCCCGGAATAAGACTGTTGGGCTGCTTCAATGTCTGCACTAGCTCAGCTACCTGCTGCTCGAGCCTGGATCTGGTCTCCATGGTGTGCACACCACGGTCTCGGGAATGTCTGCCTCTGCTGCTCTGCCCCCAAGAATGATCTCTGGCAGCCAAAGTACTGATCATCTGGTTCAGCTCGGGTGGAGTCTTAGTAAGGATATCCCCTCCTGGGCATAGAGACTCAATCACCCTCTGGCTATCTGGGGAGAGAGCACTGTAGAAGTTCCCCACTGTGAATGCATCACTAAAGCCATGATGGGGACACTGCCAGAAATAGCCCATGTACCGTTCCCATGCATCACGCAGTGACTCATCTGGCTCTTGGCGGAAGTGAGTGATCTCCCGCTGGATCTCTGTAGTCTTCGATGCCGGATAGTACCTGTGCACGAATTTGTCAGCCAGATCGTCCCAAGAGGTGATGGACAATGGGGGCTGGGTCTCCAACCACCTCTTCGCATTCCCCGCCAGAGAATGAGGGAAGAGATGAAGGCGGATTGCATCATCAGGGACACCATTCAGCTTGAACCCGTTCGTCAGCTGCAGAAAACGGGAAAGATGTACCCTGGCCTCCTCATCCTTCAAGCCATGGAACTGGATAGAGGATGTAATGAGCTGAATCCAGCATGGCTTGATCTTGAAGTTGTTTGCTGGAATAGGCGGGTAGAGGATGACCGGGCGGATGTCAGCAATCCGTGGAGTGTAGTAGTACTCCAAGGTGGGACCCGGCTGCGTGATATGTTATCAAAGTCACGCAGCTAACGACTCAATCGAAGGATCGATTGAGCTCGAATCAAGAACGAAGCGTTCTTAATACGAACTTGGATAAAACGGAACCAAAAAGACGATTCCACACCTGGGGAACGCTCGATTGGTATAAAAGGTAGATGCCCGACCACGATTGAAGTGACTATTCAATCGATACAAGAGCTCACGAGCTTGGAATCCACCAAACTCAACACAAGTCGCAACTTACACAAAAACCAAAAGGTTCTCAATTCGATTAATCAAAGTCCGCGTTTTTACAACGTAAATAAAAGGTATTTAAAGGCAAATAAACCTAATACAATCCTAATAGAGCTAGGCAACAATTAAGGTAAAAGTCTACACTAAAAAGGACACAAAAATTCGGGTTTAAACTCCCTTTCTTGAAGCACAAGCAAGCTGCCAACAAACAGTCAAAAAGCAGCTTTCGTAGTAACTTCGTGCCATTCGTTCGAAGCCTTCCCGAACTCTAATCCTTCATCCAATTCCTTCCCTTTGTACATAAACATACCTAGTTTCATGTTGTGGAAGCCTTTGGTCTTGAATAAGATCCATACTCCTCGAATCAAGCTCCAAAGTAGGCTTCACAAAACAGTTTCCAGACTTAACCATTTTCTGGCAGTTTTCTAGTTTTGAGGTAGCAACTTGTAGGCCTTGGAAAACAACCTTAATGACATCATCTGGATCCACAAAGCATACCATTGAAAAGTTGGAAACTTTATCCTGAACACGGATTTTGACTTAGCCAAATTCTGCCTTTCTTCTTCCCAACTTTGATGGCTTCTTTGTCAAGTAATTGTGACGTGAATGGTTGGCAATTTGGGATCATATCACTGCGGTGGTTGATGAACCCCATGATCCTGGGGTATGGGGTTGTTCCCCAGGACCTGATTCACTGGGGGAGCCTGCTGAGGATTCCCCTGGTGTTGATTGTACTCTCCGTCCATCCCGTGCTATTCTTCAGAATTGCTACTCAGGTGGCCGTCTATGCGCTCTTCCGTAGCCAGTCTAGCTCGCTGTTGTCTCCTGAGCTGGCGACAGGTGCGGTCAATCTCTGGATTCAACGGCAGTAAACCTCCTGACTGGCTACGGGTCATGCACTACCTGCACACACTCAAGCAAGCAAACCCGTGAAGGCACAAGTGGGACAAAGCAAACAAAGTGAAAAGAAAAGCTAAATTAATAGAAATCACTTTTCTTCAACAACCTAGCCGTCCCCGGCAACGGCACCAAGAACTTGACTCACTTCTACTGTCACTCCAGGAATTGGCCAAGTGGAACCACTCCCTAAAGCGTAGTATAGCGGGTTTAGGTTTAATTATCAACCCGGGTCCTAGATTTGATGACTACTAAGTGAATTCTTGTTATCTAGCAATGAAACT